CTGTTAAACACTGGATATTTAAACTTTTGTACTTGCTTGATATTGACATTTCCATCTTGGGTTAATCCTTTTCTCTAACTTTCTTTTATCATCCTGTCTAGGAAGTGTTGACCATGTTTGCCATAGTCTCTGAATATGGAATCCAGTGAAGTCTGTAATCTCTTCAATATCAGAGGTTGGCAATGTAGATTCGGAGAAAGTAGCGGCTGTTAATTCTTTAAGTCTTCGATATCAGGTTGGCAGTGGAGATATTTTGGGAGAAAAAACAAAAAGGCTGACTTTATACAGGTCGCATTGAATATTTTGAGCTTTCTGATTGGTTAACCCTTCTATTGGTGAACTATAAAATGAGTCAGCTCGTTTTGACTGGCTCACTAGTAAAGTCATACCCAAAAAAACTGCAACAGGAAGTCCTGTAGTTTTCTTTCTGTATCTGCCATCAGCACTGTATCGGATGCTTATCTTACATTGTTAAGATTACACACATCAATAACAAATCCTGGTAGTGTCTCCAGTTCCTTTAGGTCAGCATCAATGTATAGTGAATAAATCTGGAGCAAAGATGCATCCTTTTCTCACACCCCTTTCTATTTTTGTATAGCTACACAGTTTATTTTCTATCCATATGCAGGTGGTTTGCTTGCAGTATAAGTTCTGAATTATTCTAATGTCATTTCTAAATAGATTGAGTTTTCCTAGCAGTACAAATAGATCTATGTGACATACATTGTCAAATGCTTTTGTGTAATATATAAAACATAAGTACACTTTTTTTTTTTTTTTTTTTTTTTATGCGTATCATGAAGTTTACATGTTTTTCCTTTCTCTATTAGTCATAAAGACAGGAGTCTTTTCCTTTTAATCCAAATTAAGAGACTTTCAACAAAAAAAAATGTCAATGATTGTTGACCCCAAACAAATTTACTTCCAATATGACAAACATCTGGTTCAAAGTATAAAAAAAAAAAAAAAAAAAAAAGTCAGCTACATGACCACAGATTTTTGTTATTGTACAACATTTATCTCATATTCCTATGATACTAGTGTTCATAATTTAACAGCACCTCTTCAGACTTTTTCTAACCTTTTCTGAAGAAAGAATTCTTCTGCTTTCAACCAAGATTTCCATCTCTAACAAAAAAAGAATCAGCATATGGATTGAATTTCGACTGACTGTGCTTATGCTCATTCAAGACTTATGCCTTTGGAAAAAAAAGGCATGAGTCCACATCTCCATAGAGACTGTGTCATTACTAGATGCATTAGAAAAAAAGAATTGCCATGATGTTTGACAAAAGAGAGCAGATGAATAAGTATTTAGTTATGAGAGAGTGGTTTACGTAATTTACCTACCAATACTTCAGAAACATTAAGCTGTTACACTTATTATCAAAGGTCAACTAACATCAGCATATAACTGTACTAAATGCATCTGTAAAAGTCAAAATTTGGAAGTATTTTTTTTTCAAATAAAAATTAGAACCAAGTCACTTTGCCTATTTCAAATCTGCAATATTATCCATACCTAATCCCTTTATACAGAGATGTTATCAATGAAGACATTTCCTCACCAAGTTATTATTATTGTATGCTATTAGCTTTTCCAGGATTTTTCTTTTTCTTCCATTAGTATTTATACCCAAACAGTACACTTTACCACAAGTGTTTCTTATTTTATAAAATAATCTCTATAAGTTGTCATCCATTTTCAATCTTTTATTCTTTACAGGTTGGTGTTATTAGCCCATAAATAAAATGGACAAAAGATACTCTGGTAGGATTACTTTTTCACTTCCAACTTGAACAATAAACAACTGAAACTGCACAAATTATCTTCTTTATGTGCCATGCCTCCTCAATATGTAAGGGATCATGGCTCTCCACAATTTTCTGTTCTTTGTACCTTTAAATAAATTCTGTCTTTTCATTATTTCTCCTAAACTCTGTTCCACCATTCATTTACTCAAGCTAGTCAAGTATGATATACATTGTTTTCCTTTGTCCCTCTTGCTCTCAATCAGTCCCTGTATCAGATTTTCTAAGCCTTCCATTCTTCATTACGGGCCCCAGTAATTTCAACTGCTTCTTCCTGATGTTATGGATAAGTTTCATTTTTGTTTCAATTTTCTCTAAAACTTTGTAATCACATGTTTGGTCCATGGTATCATCAACATCCTTCTGCAGAACTGTATTTCTGTTGCTTCAAGTCTCTTTTTCATCTTTGAGGAGATTGTCCAGCATTCACTGCCTGATAGGATGACTAATACTGCATAACAGTTCAGTACTCTTTTCTTTGTTTCTAATGATATTTTTATGTTTCTTAATACTTTGCTTAACATTTGGAAGGCATCTTTAGCTATTCCAATACACTTTCGAATTTATATATCACACTTCCCGTCCTCATTTAAAACTCTTCCCAGATATTTAAATTGTTGTACTGGTTTAATTTTGATGTCTCCAATTTATAATTTGCATGTTAGCTGTTCCTTTGGTTCTTTCAATTGATGTTTAGTCCTTTCTTCCTGCTTTCCTTCAATACCTTCTGTCAGAGTTCTTCTAGTTAACTTTCTCTGTTATTAACAATGTGTCATCTCCATATCTAACTAATGTTGTTAAGATTGTGGCCAACAATAATGAATCTTGATAGGACTTCTGATTCTTTTAGAATCACCTTACAGTTTAGGTTGAATAAGTCCGGTGAGAAGATACATCCTTGTCATCCACTCTTATATTTTTGTACTTACTGAACTGATTTCCTATCTGCATGTAGATGGTTAGATGCCGGTATAAGTTTTGGATGATTGTAATATCCTTCCCAAATATATCAATATATGTTGACTATCTTTACAATTTGTCTCTAACACTTTATTTTCTTTTTACTAGTGAAATATTTCACAATCATGTAATTGTTTTCAGTGATGAATGTATTATTAGACATATTTTTTAATAGAAGAAAAGTAATTAAATGACCAATGAGGAGTTTCATTAATACCTTCAAATTATTTCAGTTTATAAACTTATATGAGATGTACAGGTGGCATAAAGGTTTTTGATGTGGAAAGTGGAATAGGTGAGTCAAGTTCAGACTTTGTCAGTTAGATACATTTTTACACTAAAGTTCTTTGGAAAGGCCTGAATCTATCCTCTTTCCCCCAGTTATGGATTAAATAACAGAGTTCTGGGCTCTCTAGCCTTAGATGTCAGCCCATCTAAAAGAAAGATAACTCTGAATTGCTTCTAACAAAATTTTTCTCTCTTAACACTGCTTACATGAAAGCATTTACACAAAGATTAGCTTGCGCTTTTGCATTTCAACAATATCAACAAAAGGTATATCTGTATTTTAGAGATTATGCAACAGCATTCAATAGAATACTTCACAAAGAACTGTTGGAGCTGCTAGGTAAGCTTGACATATTTGGGAAGGTTATTAGAATAATAAACAACCTGCATACATATAGAAAATAAATTCAGTATATATATATATATATATATATATATAAAAATAGAAAAGAATAAAAGTAAAACAAGGATGTATCTTCTCCCCAGACCTATTCAAACTATGCCGCAAGGTGATTCTGAGAGAATTAGAAGTCTTATCAGGATTCATTATTGGCAGCTACAATCTTAGCAACGCAAGATATGCAGATGACACAGTGTTGATAGCAGACACAGAAAGGAAACTACAAGAACTCCTGCTAAAGGTAATGAAAGAAAGTGAGAAGAAAGAACTAAACATCAATTGCAAGATGACAGAATGCATTGTTGTTAGAAAAAGGAACAGCCCAACATGCAAATTACAAATTAAAGATGCAAACATCAAGCAATTACAACAATTTAAATATCTAGAAAATGTTCAAATGGGCAGAAAGTACAATACTGAAATCTGAAGGCACTTTAGGATAGCAAAAGATGCTTTCCAAAAGCTAAGCAAAGTATTAAGTAACATAAAAATATTAGAAATAAAGAAAAGAGTATGCAACCTATGTAATATTAGTCCTAATATATGGTAGTGAATGCTGAACAATATGAAGAGACTTGAAGCAATAGAAAAGTGGTTCTACAGAAGGATGCTGAGAATACAAGAGACTAAACATGTGATGAACAACAAAGTTCTAGCAACAATGGAAGCAAAAGGGACAATTATAATTAATCTCAAGAAGAGCTAGCTGAAATTTCTATGGCACATAATGAGGAAAGAGGGCTTGGAAAATTTTATACCAAAAAGACAGACTGAAGGCAATGGGGATAGAGTAAAACAACACATAATCTCCCTGACAAGCTTGAGTGAATGGCTGATGAACAGGGTTTGGGAGATATAGCAGAAAGACAAAATTTATTAAGAGCTACAAAAGACGGCAAATTGTGGCAAGCTGTGAAAGTCAATGTCCTGAAGAGACACGGTAAATAGAAGAGGGTGTTGCATATTTCTCACTATGTCAATTGTAGGTGTTCAAGTCCTGCTAACAGGCTATTATTTTGAATGCAGCTTTTGTAAAACCAACAAAAGACCATCTCTTGTTGAAATCTTCCTGCCTCCTATCACCTTTTGGACTTGTGATAGAATAAGCTAAGACATGTAAGAAACAAGGAAAAAAATTCAAGAATATTTCCATGCAAATATTGGAGATTCAATAAGGTATATCAACTCATCAAGTTCTATCAGGAATTCATTTGTAATTTCATGATCACCACTGAAGAAAGACTTCAGCAAAAAAAAGGCAATAAAAATATCTGAAATTGAACAGAATGCAGTCAGACATTTTGTCAAGGTAAACAATTGATATTTGTTAACACTAGGACAAAAAAACTTTTGTTCTTCATTAACAGCTTGTTTTTAAGGTCTGCTAACAGACTAGCATTTTGAATGCAGATTTTTCAAAACTGGCAAAAGACATCTCTCCTGTAGGAATCATCCTACCTACCATTACCTTTTGGACTTGTGATGGACAAAACTCAGAGGCTTCCTGCCTTCCCGAGCTTTGTCCAAGGAAAGAAATTCAAGAATACTTACATGCAAATATCGGAGATTCAATAAGTTGTATCAACTTATCAAGTTCTATCAGGAATTCCTTTGTAATTTCAAGGTCACCACTGAAGAAAGACTTAAGGAAAAAAAGGATAAGAAAAACATCTGAAATTGAACAGAATGCAGTCAGACATTTTGTCAAGGTAGACAATGGATTTTTTTTTAATCATTTTACCCCAAGCAAGGCAGTAACAATAAATGGTAAAATGAACAAATAACACCACTAAGCTGCAATGGGTTACAGAATGTTAGAGAATATGAGAAAAAGAAATCACTATTAAGGAGAGAGAACAATAACAGAACAAGATTTAAATTTTTGAAGATCAAAGTTGACTGGGAAGCAAGCCAGAAGAGGGTTCCATAAGAGAGGTGTGAGGGAAGAAACTGTTAGCATAGAACTTACAGTTACATCTAGTCATTTCAATATTAAAATGCTAAGACCTTGCCACCAAGCTAGTAATGGGCTTAAATTCATAAAGTCTAGATAGAGGAAAGACCATCATATTTGGTAACAATAGGAAAAAAACCTTTATCCTTCATTAATAGTTTGTTTTTTGCTGCTTTTAAATGAAGCCTTTTTATGATTTTATTATTCATTTTACTTCATCTTATTATTGTTGCTTTTATAACATTTTGAGTCAATCTATACTCTTCAACCAATATAACAACAAACATGAAACCAAAATGAGTCAAAGAGTATATCGATCCTGATTGTTAGGATAAAAGGCAACAAAGAGATAGTGTAAAATTAGTAATAAAATAATGGTCATAATAGTAATTACTTTACTGTCAAATTGTGCTGAAAGCACTGGTTCTCATTCAATCAGTGTCAAGGCTGGTCAGTATTTAGATGGGAGGCTACTTTTGAACAAAGGCTTCCGGAATAATGTGTAGCAACATAAAAAATATGTTTGCTTTTTTTATAAACTAGAATTTTTTTGCAACATGCTAACATGTGTTGAAATCCTTACAATATTTAGTATTGTTGAAATTGTCTAACATTTTTTTCTCAAGATTTACAAACTCCATGTTTCGTTCAATTTCGCAAACCAAATAATGAAATTTGAATAAGCTCATTTGTTTGGAAAAATACTTTGACAAAACCCCTGCTCTGCAGTTTAATGGCATGTGGTCTAGGCAGCACACATCCTTTATACACCATTGCTCAATTCTATAGAGGTCACTCCAGTCTCACCACCAAAGGGCTGAATTTTGACCAAACAGGTTGCTACCTTTATCTTGCAAGATAAACGGATGCCTACTATATCAGGAATTACAAAATTTACAGTGTGCCAATGTTTTAAAGGTGGAAGAAAAACAGAAAATACAGACACAGAAGCAAGGATAACATTCGTCTGTCAAGGAAAGGCAAATAAAAAGAGAGAATAAATAGATTCAAGCCAGTGCATAACTGATTAAAACAAAACAAAATGACAATTTGTACTTTTTATTTTGAACCATTTCATCCCAATAAAGCCATTATGAGTGCAAATGACAGAAAGAAACAGCAATGTACTGTGGGAAATCCTCTGTCTAGTCCAGGGGTCATCAAATGGGATCCAAGCAACCCCCTTGGGGCCGATGAGGAGTTCCAAAGGGTTGATGATAGGTTAAATGGAAGTCAGTGTGCAAATGACACTTAGCTAAATTTTAGTTAATGTACATGTATGTTATATTCTTCAATGCAGATGAAAGAAAGTTTAAACACTCTTTTTTGTAGACAATACTTTATTAATTGAATATTAATAGTGGTTATGCATTTCTGTTCAATAGAATTGGTTGTATTTAAGCTTGGTGTACTTAATATATTATTTGCTTCATTCAATGGTGTTATTTAATATATTTTTTTTAAATATATTGGCGAGGGTTCTAAACCTGATGACGCTGGGGGAGAAAATTCTGAACCTGATACAAATTTTTTTTTAATTTTTCATACATTTTAGTTAACATTTTAATTGCCAACATCAGAGAAAAAAAAGGGGGGGGGGTCTATGGTCAAAAAAAGTTTGACAACCCCCAGGTCTTTTCAATCATGAATCGAAAGAGACATGTTCGCTCAAGCATGTATTACGTATAACACTTAACTGACTGAATAGGAATTGATACTGATAATTGAAATAGGTAAAATTTGAGCAACACTTCAAGTTTACCAATTTTTTCAATCAATGAAATATTTAAAACATTTTCGTAGGACATTTTCCTTTCAAGTGTCAGTTACTAATAAAAAGATACAAAAAAAGTACTTTCACAGACTGTGAAATGCTTTCCTTAAAGAATGAATTACACTGCCAAGAAATAAATAACTTTTTGTGTCATTTTTTTTATTAAAAAAAAGTGGGGATAACCATTCATCTGATTGATAGTGAAATTTGAATCTGAACTACAAGAAACAAGTTTACTTTCTTACAACATAAGTCTGAAGTTGGGAGAGGGAGAAAGATTGCAATACGAATTGGCCAAGTGCCAGTCTGCCTGCCTAGAAAATCAGTATTCAAAACCTTTTTATCCAGCCTCACTGAGAAATACATATTGGTCACAAGGCAGGCTATATCTTGACTACTTATCACTGAAATAAGCATGTTCTTACCAATATCAACCAGAGCCTTCATTTGTGCCATAATTGTTATTCCCATACAATATTCATCATACAGTAGTCAAGGAGAAATGTCTGAAGACACTTCCAACAGTGGATGCCTAAAACTGTTGATAGTACCAAACACACACACATTCCAGGTGCAGATGGGTCAATCACATGGACCTGCAATCATCAGCCAGGAGGTCATTCCTTAGGTCAATTCCACATTTATTTTGGTACCATCAGAGGTGAGGCATATAAGACATAAGAATACTGGCCACCTGTCAAAATGGCAATATGTATAGCAACTTTTGTACACTTATTACCATGATAGTGATTAGTTCAAACAAATCGGATTACTACCCGCAACATAGAAAGGCGGGCTGTGCCATTTTGCAAAGTTTCATTCTTTTTCTGTCAAACATAGACCAACAACACATGCCTTTTTCCACCACCTGCAATACACACAGCATATAAGTACTTAAAGCATGTAAGGATATCAACTGAAGATTGTGTTGAAAATTCAACAAATTCAGATAATGAAGTGCCTTTCTTTCTTGTAACCATGTCTTATCAATATTCTATTATAATTGTGCTTGTCCCACCCTTTGTTAGTTTGCACAACCATTACACACTGCCAATACCTAATCAATAATGAACTATAGTTTTGATCGAGTGGAAAGAGAAGACACAACTTGGTATCAGTGATAAAATAAAAGAAAGAAAGGAAGATAGAAATGAAGAAAGAGAATCAGATTAAGCTGATAAGAACAGATAATAGGCTTTGATCTTAGCCAAAAGGCCAAGAAGTCCTGGCAACCATGATAAACGCACCATTTTTTCAGATGTACATTAAAGAACAACACAAACCAAGTAAGGCAATCATCAAAAATCCATTTACCATAAATCAAATAAAATAACATCGTCTGACTTATTTTAAAATTATTATTAAAAGAAAACTTCATAAGACAGGAATTTGGCTATATATTTATTATTTGTCTAAAAGCCATGACATGTCCTTATTTTTCCCAACTCACATGGGGTTGTAGAATATTGTTTGCAAGACAAGTAATATCTGTTGTAAAAACAATTTATCCCATTTCACAAGTGCTTACACACTATCTTTCTCCTGCAACAACAACTTGCCAGAGGAAAGACATTTTTCTAAAGATATCTTGCAGGTGAAAAGCACACTGATATGGATTCACACCTTTCCCTAGAGGACAATAGCGCAAAGTGAATGTAAGCAGCAGCAGCAAAAATCTGTTTATCAATTCCATTTTTCATCCTGGTGACTGTTACACTAAACTTGCACCTGTTTATATTTTTTTATTAACCATAACACATTTTAAGTTCTTGGAATATTAAACCCATCCCTTATGAAAAAGAATTATTTGACTGTGGTTAGGTTTCTTAGAAACATGACAAGAAGCATCATATCAAAACTATTTTGTGTTACATAAATCTGGCAAGTAAAACCACAAAAAGACTAATCAAGGATCACACTCATTGATTCAAGGAACATTATTAAAATATTATGAGCATTAGTTTTATGGCTTTTTGCAAAATAATTGATTTACTGTATCATAATTCAATGAACTTTTGTTAAAAAATAATGAAGGGTTTAATTCAGTTTTTTTTTTTTTTTTAAATGACCCCCCTCCACACACATACAAAATTTCTAAAATTGTAAATAAGTATAGTAGTACTATGACTTTCTGGAATTTTTTAGAAGTTGTTTTTATTTATTTGTAAGTTTGTATGTTAAATGTGTTAAAAATATACACATGTACTATCCAATTGCATTATTAGCAAATTGAAAAATAAACCCTCTGCAAGTTTGCAGTTTTTGTTTATTTTTAAGGTTGTATGTCATACTATAGCTATAAACTGTTAAATATGTTAAAAATATGTAATTACTATCCCATTACATCATTAGCAAATTAACACTTCTGAAATATTTTTATTTCTTACCCTTATTACGTATATATTGTAAAATCAAATTTTTGGTTTGATGGTGACCTTTTTCAAGACATAAAGCAAATTAATGTCATTTTCATTATTTTTGAACAAAAGTTCATTGATTTATGACACAGGAACATAAGGTTATAAAAATATCATAGCCCTAATGAGTATATAAGTGTGCTCAAAAGGATTGCTATATAAGTTTGTTTTTTTTTCTTTTTAGTAGATGATATCTTTGTTAATAAAATCTTATGACCAGCTGGAGCACAAATCTGCAGTCTTATCATCATCTCCCCACTAAATCTCTGTGCTATATTGTTTGTTTACTACACAGTAATAGTCAGAATTCTGATAACCCATTATTTCCCCCCATCTTATTGCTGCTCTATCACAATTTTTTGACTAAATACCTTCTGAATTGTTTAACCTGTTTTCCAGGTAATCTCCCAAAATATGGGATATGAATTAAGTGCTTTGAAATGGGATTATTCTAAACTTATGCTACATTCAATGATCAGAGCATTTTCAGCCTCAAAAGTTAAAATAAGCAACAATAAGACAAAAAGAATGGTCAAAAATTATAAATTGCATATCATTGAGGTGTGAGTAAAGGTTTCTACTGAAGAAACAGTTCACAACTGTCTATTCGGTGTAATTTAAGAGAAACAAGCTTTGGATACACCTGAAATGTATATTACACACACACACACACACACACACACACAGGAGGAGGAGGAGGAATGAGAAGAAAAAAGTGACAGTTCATCACAGATGCATTCAAGCAAAATGATTGTATTGATCCTGTTCCAAAATCACAATAAGTTTCAGTATCTACTATAAATACTAATTGTCAATATTTTTGAGGCACAATGGAGTAATGGATAGCAACTCAGATTGAGGAATCAGAGAGTCAAGTTCAAATTCCAGTCAGGTTCATTACATTCTTGGGAAAGGTATGAATTCAACACTTCAAAAAGTGTTGAATTCATACCTTTATGAGTAAATAGCAAAACAAATTGGATCCTACAGCCTTGGATGGCAACTGGTCTAGGAGAAGGACAACTGAATTCAAAATCTCCAACTATAGGTTAAATAGCCTCACCAACCTGTATTTACCTAAGCATGGTGATTACAGCTACACCCCTGAAGACATGGTTAATCAGAGAGAAGAGGTTCCTTCAACAGGAGTGGGAAGGCTCTAGATTTGGAGCCTATACACTTTCAGCAGTTCTGGGGGCTATTTTTTGAAACCATCAAAAACATTTTTAAAAAGCCTAAAACAATTTACATAGACTTTCAGGATTGTCATCAATCATTTCATTACATTTTTCTTTATTTTGCTCTCTTCCTTTTCAATGGATATTTTAGCTTTGGGTAAAAACCAAGATTTGTAGGCACCCTAATTATGCTACTGATGCTTCAAGTTAGGCTGAGAATCTCAGCCTAACTTGAAGCATCAGTACACCATCTTAATGGAGCTTAATTCAATGAATCATCCTTAAAAGCCTTCTTTAATCATTTGAATAAATTCTACAGATGAAGGTCTCAGTTTCAAACAAAACAATGTATATTTGCTGTGCTATGCTACAATTACACAATACACAAGCTCATAAAATAGTGTCTCAGTACAGTCTGAGTGACCCCATGGGAAATGTACAGTCAGGTCTCCTCTGATTGGATGTCAAGTGACATCAAGGTCATACAATTAATTATTGAAAGATTCAAAATGACTAGGTCATTGACAGAACAACTTTATTTAGTGCAGAGTTTCTATAAACACATGCACCTATGTAGGAGTTTACATGCCTTCCCAGTCTTTTGAACAAGAGTAGAGGTTTATCCCTTGTTTACTGTTTAGGATTGGGTTTCTGGTTCCTTCTAAAATCTAATTCAACATGTCTAGTATCTCCAACTAAACTCGGAAATTTTATTTATTAATTTTTTTTTTACTAATAGTAGATATGTTCACTTATCGCTCAGTTCACACTCCTCCCCAGTTTTTTGAACAGTATTAGATTTTTATCCTTTGCTTCCTGTTTAGGATTGGGCTTCCAGTTCATTCTAAAGTCTTCTCATTCCCTTTCACTCCCAGTCACCCCTTACATCATAGTGACACTATTACCCTTATATAAAAGAAGTGGTGGGGAATGTGAGATCAAACTAAAATCACCTTTTCAGTTTCGGACCAATGACTAGAATAAACAAACATCTCGCAGCATTATTACTCTTGACAAGAGACTTTAATAAACATGTTCAAAGGATTTAAATAAGATGGATTCCAACATTTTTTCATCACTTTCTGGATCCCTTGTTTCTTGGTAATTTTTTTTTTGTTTAAAAATGTGTTCATACAGCTGCTACAGACTTCATAATTTTTTTTTTAATTTTCTTAGCTCAAGGTCACCCACTACTGTTCACTTAATAACAATTTTATGTAATGTAGTTCCCTGTGCCTTTTTTATAAACATGGTAATTGTTCTGATTAGCTTTGTTTTTTGGTACCTAGACTTCATCAATTTAAATACATTACTAGATTGACAGATAAGTTTCCTCATTGCTATATGTAACCATAAGTTTTATGCTAACAGTTTTTTCTCTTGCACTTCTTGTGAAACTCTCTTCTGGCCTCTTGTTTTTCAGTCAACTTTGATCTTAAAAAAATTTAAATGCAATGTCAATCATTATCTTCAGTTTTCTTAATTCCTGTTCTTTTATTGGTTTCTCTCCTTAATAAAGTATTTTTCTCTTATCCTTTTACACTCCATAACCAAATTAGTGGCCTCTTAGTGGCTTTATTGTCTTGCTTGGGGTAAAATGATTAAAAAAAAAAACTGAAAAAAACTGACCGATTTAGGGAGTTAAACACTGATAAGTTATTACTTCCCTTTAACCCATTAAAATTTCAAATAATGTAAAGGGAGTTATTCCCCTTCGACCGATTTTTTTTATAAAAGTTTTTTTTCCTCTCAAAAAAACTTATTCACCTTTAATTTTATTTATCAGAGACTGAGTATTCAGATAAATCAACCTACACAAAGCTAATGCAAACAATGGAATCGGGATATTATTTAAAACTTACTAGTTTTTTTTCAATGTGTACAATATAAAAAGGATACAAAGTCTCAAGAAGATCACAAGCATGTTGATAGTTCTGTGTAAGGTAACACAATGACACTGTGGCCACTGGACCATGACACCAACATTTATACAAGCAAGTAAAAAGAGAGCAGCTTTCCTGAAAATAAAAATAAATGTTGCAGAAGGAAAAACGAAACAAAAATGGAAGTAGAGAAATATATATATATATATATATATATATATATATATATATATATATACTCATGTATAGACCAATTTCATATATTGTGCAACTCGTGAATTATTTTGCATGAATTTTAACCTCACCAGAAAAATTACCTAGCGACACCCTAGTTTTTGCATAAAAAACTGATAATAAAAACTCATACTATACTTGAGTATATACAGTAAACATTTCTAAAGTTAAAAATGGTAACAAAAAAGGAGCCAATGACATAATTAAATAGTTTTGGCTAGGAGTTAAGAGGAAGTAGGAGGTAAAAAGGATAAAGACATAGTTGGAAGGGAAGGTAAAAGACAGAGAGATTAGTGGAAAGAGTAGGAGGGAGTGGAGACATAGGAGCTAAGAGAAAGGGGAGGTAAAAGACAGAGAGATTAGTGGAAAGAGTAGGAGGGAGTGGAGACATAGGAGCTAAGAGAAAGGGGAGGTAAAAGACAGAGATATTGTTGGCTGGTTTGGTTTATTTTGTTTTATGGCATATCAATCTCAATTGGTTATTTAATGACAGGATTTTTAAGATGGGTTTGTACGAATAGAATATGTAAGAAATTGTAGATCAGGTTTCATTGACATGTTTTTGTAAAGAAGGGTTTGGCAAAAGTTTAGTTTCATTGCTTGCTTAGCAGTGTATCAACTCTTTGTGGGTCATTTAATGCCGAAATTTAATTTTCTTGAGGCATTAGTAATTTCTTTTACAAAAATGTATTGCTGGTAATATTTCTTTTTCAAAAAAGTATTACTGGTAATTTTACTATAAAAATCCATTTTTATACTTTCATATCGTTTTGACTCTAGTTTGGGGGTCAACTATTTACCCTAACACGTGCTGCCTCTCTGGGTCAGGGTGGACCTGGGAACAACAGCAATTAAGAGGTGGTTCCACACTCCTCAGAACCTCCTAATCAGAGGCCTTGCTACTGGATGTAGTTTATCGTTATATCCAGGATGGAGACATAGTTGGAGGTGAGTAAAGGACTGAGACATTAGTGAAAATAAGGGGGATAAAGGATTGACACATAGGATGTAAGAGGTAGTGGGTGGAGTAATGGCCAGAGACATAGGAGCTGAGGGAGGAGAACTAAAGGACAAAGACAGGAGCTAATAGGATGTAGCAGTGGGCTAAATGGCAAAGAAGATATAACATTGACATGTGAAAATATTGAACATATCGTGGAGCATTTGTTTTACTTACAGGTGTCTTGAGGTCTTTTAGTTGAGTACGAAGCTCAAAAAATTCTGTGGATGTGAGCAGGATGGTGTTCAGAGTCTGGACCATAGTGCTGGCAAAGGAAGTGTCTTTCTCTTTCACGAGAATTTCAGAAATGGATCTATAAATGTCTTCGGCGTTTAACAAAATTGCCAGTTGCCTGGAAAGGAGACAAACAGATCAAGATTTATTCTTCTAATCATCAAAATGTCTCTTAAAATGCAGACAAAAAAACAAAAAAAGTTTCAGTGTATTCAAGTCTTATCTTTGATGTTACAAATCTCAAATTGACCAATCCGTCAAATATCATGCCTTTACAATTATTTTTATACAAGGCATTTTGTTTCATTGCAGCAGAGTGCCAAAGGTAACTGTAAAAGCTATGAAAGTCAAAGTTCTTTAGTCAGCTTCAAGACATATAAAAGAACTAGAATTTTTAAAATCATCACAGCATATAGTATTGTTGAAGTTATCGCTAACATCTTTTGTCAAGATTTACAAACTGTTTCATTCAATTTTCAATCGACTAAATTTGAAGATGATTTGTTTGGAAAAAATACTTCTGACAAAACCTATACTTTTGCTTTTAAGCACCATAGTAAAACCAACTGTACTTTGTACCTCCTTACCTGTTTGCACTTCTCCCTCCCCAAAATTTACTTCTGATTGGTCAGTGTATGGCTATTTTAGAGGGTATGACAGATGGATGAACTGACTAATGGATGTCATGGAATTTTATATAGATAGATGAGTATAAAACGGTTCAAGTTTCATGTGACAGAATTTGTGGCAACCTGTATTTAAGGTATCCATAGTTAAGTGTAACGGACAAAAACACTCAACAAGCGGAATTGACAAAATTTTCAATAAAAATAGCAAGAGAAAGAAATGGAACAGGGCAAAATACTATGTAGACAATTTAGACATGCAAGACAAAACGAGGCAAAGCAACAGTAATCAGGCAAAATGCTCATAAAGAATGATGTTAACACACAAAAGGGACACACAAGTGATAGTAGCATTCTGGTTTCAAGACAAGAAAGAACAACAATATGGCAGTTGAGACTGAGAAGTGGTACTGTGGCGGACATGAGACAGAACCTGGGACGAGCACAATTGGTCGTGACTTGCCTTGTCCCCGCCAAAAAAGAGCCTGTATTTGCTTAGCATGTAAAGCTGCTGCAGTTGAAATGAGGGAGAAAAAAGCACTTACCGCTCTGCCATAATCCGTCCTTGGCCAGATAACGTAAAAGAATGAGGGGGCACTTGCATTGCATTTTTATGCAATAAAGATGCAATGCATTATGGGACATGGACGCAATGAATTATGGGATCACATGAAGATGCAAGGGATTATGGGTATATGGACAAATATAAAAGCAACTACTTTTTTCCCAGTAGGGGAGTTCTTCGAGTGACGTTCACGGTTGGTGGCAAGAACGGTCTGTTAGTGTGATTTTGAGACAGAACTCAAGAAGGAACGACTCAAGGTAGAAATACCAGCTGGGAAAGCTTGAATTTACTCGCTGGTTGCTGTTTTCTTTATTTCGCCTCAGGTACATTTTTATTGGTTAGGAAAAGGTCCCAGCATGCATCTGTAGGATTTGTCTACAAATTTTTTTGTGGGGGAAGATGTTTTTACAGACATTCCTTTTGGATTTTTTGTCTTTTCTAGTTGACCTTCTTGAGCTTTTTATCTGTTTAACTTAGCTAGTGCATGTAAGTGCATAGTGCCCATTTATTTTTGTCCTCTTTTTAGTTTCTATAACTCATCACTCCCCTATTAGCAGAAAGTTGCTGGACGGAATTTATATCCAAATACAAACTACTTTTGAACGTTATCACAAATTTAAACATAATAATAAAAATATAACCATAGCCTATAACTGGACACAAACCAATTTGGACAAAGTACCATTACATGACTGTGTGTGTATATATATATATATATATATATATATATATATATATATATATTTACATTATTCGGACCACTGTCTTCATCTTTGTCGCCATATTTATTACTATGTTTCGGCCATTGTACACTCCGGCCTTCTTCAGGTGGTTGGAATGTTGAACTGAACCCTTTATTTCGCTCACTGGGGTAGACTGTTCTAGTTCCACGTGCCATGTTTAAATATGGCAACAAAGATGAGGAAATAGTCCAAATAATGTAAATGATGTACATAATACCTCATCTCAGAAATATAGACATATATATATATATATATATATATGAGAAGTAAGGTGTATAAAAATCAAAAAAAAAAATTAATCTTCAAACACAGCTCTATAAATTCAACAAATAACTTTTGTTTTCTTTTAAGCTGAGAGAAATAAAGTTTCTTATTCAGCTGGTTCATAGAATTGTGTTTAGAAAAATAAACACAAGCCAGGTTCATACAGAAATGTTTTGTTTTGTTTTTTTTTACAACACAAACAAAAAAGGTGAATTGTGTTAGTACAGAGATGAGTGTATGTGTGGGATTGTCACATGAAAAGTCAATATATATGTATAATGCTTTTCAGGTATCTTTGATGCTTTCTATCACATTAACAGTATAGGGGTACCTTCCACTGTTGAAGTCAACCATACAATAAAATGGATTCTGGTTGGTTGATTTTATGATATGTCAACCTTTGTAGGATTACTTAATGTGAAATTTTTGTACAGAACACCTAGTGAGGATGAAACTCATTACTCTGTAGTCAATGGTCAACCAAACTAGCCTTGCTAACCATTACCCCATACCAAGAGGTATCTACAAAATATAACCTGAAAAGACAGCCAAAACAATGTATTGATCTAAATTCACTAGTGCGAATTAACTGGCAAGAAAATTCAGTGAATATTGAAATTGTATGAAAAAAAAAAAAAATTTACTGAACTGAGGGGACTATTCAGAACTGCCCATAATTCATAGGCTGGCAAAATATGAAAAAGAGAGGTGGGTGGAGTGGAAGGTAGCTTACCGAATAATGAAAGACCCCTTCTCTTCAAGAAGGGACGGGTCAGTGTGAAAGAGTTTTATCAATTCCATCATGAACTTATCAAAATAATGGTTGAGGCCTGTGATCTCTTTGCCCTCAACAGCAGAAGCAGTGGCGGTGGCAGCAGCAGTTTCCTTTGATTCCTGATTTTTCTCTTGGCCCGCTTCTTTCACAACATTCTTATTCTGTCTGCCAGCCGGATTTGAAGAAATATCAGCAAGTGCTTCCAAGTCCAGAAGAACAACCTGTTATGATTTAAAAAAAAGAACTGGATGAATCAACTAGAACAAAAGCCATAATGACTTCAGAGAGAGTACAAATCCACAATTAATTTTTACAAGAATTTTCATTTTTTTTTTAATTTTAATTAGAAAAATTTATTAAGCTTCAAATTTTAAAATTCTGTATTAATTTCAGCCTTTTAGATGATATTATTATTATTAAGTGAAAACTATAATCATAAATGAAAAAGCCTAATACACAAACACCAATATTTTTAAAAGAATTTAAAATTTTTGTCTTTGTGTATAAATGTGCCAATTCTTGTCTATGTGTATAAAGATACCAATTTTTGTAAGTACAGGTGACTATACACAGCATTATCAGAAAATAAAAACAATAACTATAGTAAATTTAAAGTCAAAATTTCTAAAATTGAATAAAACAATAGATTATGGAGAATATTTTTCTAAATTTTTAAAATTACTGAGTACTTAAAAATTATATAAAAAATCCTTAAATCATTTATGTTTTACAGATAAAGTCTCCATAGAACAGCATTAGATCTGTCATCAGGCTGTTAGCACATCAAAACAGCTATTGTTGAGGTAAAAGAATGCATTTCTGCAATATTTAAAACTTAAAGTAAATAATATTTGTTTCAAATCAGATTAATTCTACTTTAAATCAGCTAATATTTTTCAAGTTTCAGAAAAGTATATTTTATTTTTGGAAGATTTTTTTTAATAAACAGAATTACATTGCAATGAAAGACAACTAAAAAGAGTGCTAATCAGCTATTTAAAAAAAAAACAAAAAAAAACACTCCTTCCAGTCAATTTAAATTAGTTTTAAAGTATTTTGCTTATTGAAAATATTAAATTTAATCTATCAGCTGGAAATTAAAACTAAAATAAAAGCTTCAAGTAAGATTTTTCATTTTTAACCTTAGGTATCACGTTTTTTGTGGAGGTCCCTACATTATCGTATAACAGGTTTTTGTACCCATTTTATAATTTTAATCTCATTTTTGCTAATAGCACAATATTCTTTAGGTAAGTTGATGGCAGACATTAGCAAATTTTTGGTGATACATACATTTCTGAACCTTGAATGATTTCTAGAAAAAAATTAGCATCCAGTCGAAGACATTAGGTGAAGGGGAAAAAAAAACTCTTCCTTAACTCCCAAATATGAAAGCCAAGTTATAAAAGATGTGCAGGTAGGACAATGGTTATTAGCAAGTGAAATCAGCAAGCCAAGTTCAAATTACAGCTTAGTCTGTTTTATTCACTTTGGTTGGAAAAAACAGCTATGGGTTAAATAGTAGCATAGATTGAGCTCCCAAGCATCAGACAGCCAGTCTAACAGAAGGGATACTCTGAATACAAAAACGTTCAGAAGATAACAAGGAAACTACTTCACTCTTTCCCCCCCCTCAAGAAATCATGTCAAATCACAGATATTAAATGAATCTATGATCGCTTATTTTCTGAAGGAATATCGTATTAAAAAGACTTAAAACTTAATGTAGTCAAATAGAGTTATCGCCCTTGAATTATACACTTTAACAATAATGTTTATAATCGAGTGTATAGTGCAGGTTTTTATGATCAGTTTTTTTTACACAAAAAAAATAGTCGCACTATACACAGGTAAATTTTTCTGAAGGTGTTAAAATTCATACAAAATAATTCAGAGATTGGCTTACACACAAGTATATACGTTAAATCTTCTACATAAAAAATTAAAATTTCTATTTTAATTGGTCAGAAAATTAATGCCGTGGACAATTCAATGAATTTTGTACATATTTACTTACTTTAGTGTTGATTAAGTTTACTTTAACTGGTTTTAAATATATAAATACTTATTTGGTGGCTGAAAGAGTTGTATGTTTCTCTGTTTAAACCAGGATTTCAAATGTTACATTTTTTTTTTTTTTTAAGGTAAGCAATCCTTCCCCACTGGACATTAACATAAAATTATCTTCCTGCTGTCCTCTATCTAGACATTTTTAAAATCTCTATCATTTGCATAGCACAATATTGATTAAAATTAATTTTAATATCAAGTCTGATTTGTATAATTTCTGTGTAAATTTCAGACAAAAAAAATGAATTATTATTCATTTTGTGTCCTGATCTTGATTGCTATGAACACATTTCAGCCATTGTATTCTCCAGCCTTCTTCAGGTGTGTGTCATTCATCAAATTTCAAAATTAACTTTTTATTTAATGCATTGGGATAGATTCTTCCCATATTGTTAAGTTTTTAGTTAATTCCCCCTTCTACTTGTTCCTCTGAACCAGTGTAGGAGGGAACATTAAAAATTTTCCCACCTAACCCACTTCTCAGTAACTTGGTTGAACCATGAACTTTCAGCACCTTCTCATATATCAATTTCACTAGCTGAAGGGATAGAACTCACAAAAATGAGACAAACTACATGTACTAACTACTAACTACCACTTACATCCACTAGGCCATTGTCTTGGAGGACAATCAGGAAGTGAAATTTGAGAAGCTTTAACATCTTGGTCAACAACTACCATGTTATGTTAAATTCTAGGAATTGGATGAGAATTATGTGAATATATGAAGACATTAAAGAAATCAGTGTGAAGAAGGTATCCGCCCATTATGAATATCTTGAGGAACCCGTTGTAGAGGCTCGAAGTAAGTTTGCAATCAAGTCAGAAGTTACTGCATGTGTATGAATACACTTTCCTGAAGTTACTCAGTAGACAGTGAGATACCACTGCGCAAGCTTGTGTACAATGTGACCATTGTATTCATCATGGCAATGCACCTGTCCATTACTTGCATCTTGTGCAGGATATTCAAGTGAAAACATCACATCCCCAAAGGTATGTTAGCCTTTTTCCATCACAGTCAAGTTTTGACTCTCCTAAATTTCTAACTTTTCACAAAACTAAAATTGCTATTGAAAAGGAAATATTAAACAATGGACAAGACTAAAACAAAAGCAACAAAGCAGCTGATGACAGTCTGGAAAAGGGAATTTAAAGACTGTTTGGAAAAATTAAAGAAATGCTGGGGTAATATTAAATGAACGGAGACTTTCTAGACAGACTTTACATGAATCTTATTCATCAAATTCCTAAAATATAGGAAAAAAGAAAAAAAGAATATGCATTCAGATTATTATAATCACAAATAAAAGTTAATACCACACTGACTTTTTTTTTTGGGGTCAATTTTACAAATAGTTTCTCAATTTTTACTCAAAATTTCTAAAGTATTCAAAAGCTTTTAATTACTGAAATCACTGAGATAGTTATTAGTGCTGTGAACACAAGGCAGAAGTATGTTCAACTGAAAATGACATCACTTGGTTATATTACAAGTACTACAGTTTGTAGTTTTTTCATTCCTCCAATCAGTCTTGAATAACTTTCTCAAAATCACCTGGTTAACCACTTGAGAGTAGCTGTGTAATTTCTTTATCTTGTTACAAAGTAAGGATCGGACAGTCATTCACAACAGTTCAGTAACTGATCATGTAGTCCTTCATAACAATTTAGTAATGGATCAGATAGTCATTTATGACAATTTGTAGATGGCAATAAAAATGTTATATAATAGTTTAGCAGACTATTATTTTTAGAGGAAGTGTATCTCTGCTCAAACTTCCTGAGGTTGACCTTCAAGGTCAAATATAAGACAAAACAAAGAAGTCGATTTTGATAAGCTGAGTCAGCATGGGAATGATAGGTATAGAGAAAAGGTTTTCAGTGAGTTATTTCTGAACCATTGAGCAATGTAGACGTGTTCACTTTCATGTCTAAAACAGCTCCTCAGGATAGTTAGAAGATGTAAACATCGAAGTTAATAAAATAGCTAAGTTAAAATTCCCTGTGTTGAAGTTCGTTCCATCTTGAACCAAACATATAGTGATCACCGTCCGCAAGAGAAGAATGCAACTTTATTATTTAACAATCACCATCGCCCAAGACTACCTCCACCAGATGGCTATGCAACATAAGCTCAATTTGGCACTGATGACCAAGACCTTCTCAGCACAAGTGGGCTATACAACAAAAACATGAAAGTTATGACTGTCCTGTAGCAGCTGACAAGATATTTTACAGATATGACATCATCATCCAAAAACCTTCTAGTTCCTAGTATTTGATCAGAAACCAATGATAGGATAAATAATACATATTTATCTTCTGTAGAAAAAGTCATTCGTTCTTACAGATCAATCAGGAGACAAATGAGATGAATAAAATTCAGATTACATGACAGCAAGCTACTCAGATTTTGTAAGGAAGCTGCTCTTTGTGTCTAAATTTTGTTTTAAAGCAAACAATTTACTTACCTCATCAGATGGATCTGACAAGGTCCTTAAAAATAAAGGAAAGAAGTCATCAATGTACTGGAATGTCTGAAAATTGAGAAAAAAAGAAAAAAATGTTACTATTAGTTGGTGCAAGACAAAAAAAAAAAATGAACATTAATGAAGAGTAAAGTAGAAGTGGGTCCTGAAAATTTCAAGCAACTTCCTAAAAATCAATGGTCAAACCTCAGAATACTGAGCAACAGGCTTTCAGCAATCATTATTTTTTTTTCTCACATGTCACTATAGATGCAAGAGGTTGCTGGGAGTGAAAGAGAAGAAGGAGAAGATTTCAGTTAGGACAATAAAAAGAACAGGATTCATGAAGATAGCAATTGGCATTACATTGAAATTTTTGAAGACTGTAGGTGGCATGGAAGCAAAAAATCAGAAGAGAGTTTCACAGGTGAAAAGTGTGAGAAAAGAAACTGTTACAATAGAAATTTGCATATCTAGCTAGTTTAACATTAAAACAGTGAGACCTAGTTAGTAATCAAATAGTACGCTTAAAATCATCCCCTTATATAACACATAAAAACATTGTGTGGTCTCAGCAATTCCACATACATACAAAAATGTATTCAAAACTAAGTTTACTTTTCTTTAAAAAAAAAATCTATATCATTCAAATGAAGTAATTTTTACTACTACTACTATTATTATTACTACTTATATAAGCAATTAAATCTAAAATATATAAATCAGAGAGCAGAGTTTCAATTTCTATTTGGGATCATTATATCCATTTATGCAAATACCCTATGGATCCAGCTCTTCTTCCCCCCAGCTATTGGTTAATTAGTAACACTTGTATCATTAAACCATTATTATCTCAAAAAAAAAAAAAAAAAAAAAAAAAAAAAATCTTACTAGGTAAAAATACTTTATAGCTCTAAATAACCTGCAATGGGTTGATAAGTTGTAGAAAACGGATCAATCAATTAAAATATGAAATATAATATTGAAATATAAAGATTTACCAGTTATATGATAAAATGACTGATATATGAAATATACAAACAATGAATGTAAAATGGAATATGTGAAAACGAGTTGGATGTTTAGAGTCTATGCTGCTGGCAACGTTTCGTTCAGTAAGAACATTTCAGACCAACTATATATTCTGAGAGCACCTTTCCTTTTTGGCTTCGTCTCAAGAAAAACTGTTATGTGTACAAGGGAAGTAACTCAACAATGTAAACTATCCTACACTAGAATATTAAATAGAATAAAATTAAGTCAAAAATAAATAATAAAAAGCCAGTATTTTAAATACTCATGGCAGGTCTTCCATATTTGAGAGATTAGCATAAAATCTTTCTCTATTTCCTCCAAGTAGTTCTGAATTAGGACAAACTAATTTCATTAAATACATATAGTCATAAATTTTCTGTATTACATACATTAACAACTGGATTCTGAATGTTAAGATGTAGATGTCTAATCCAGAAGACAATACTACAAAATTTAAGTTTTACCAGATCTAATTCTTTTGTAAATATTTGATATTTGCCATTTCCATGTTCTTTAATGATTTTGTATTTTGCTTCCAAAATAATAACTTTTTCAAAAAGAAAATAAATCAAGGTTTTCTGAATTTTTTCTTTGATATTTTGAGGCTGGGATAAAATGAATAACATAACAGGAAAAGTTATGGAAATAGACATTGTAGGAGACAGTCTGGACTTCACAAGTGGAACACTCAACACAGAGTTGTTACCTTGGTAATGAATATACATAGATGCTACAAGATTTCTCATTTCATACTGAGTGAAAGATGGTGATGCAGGAGCAAAAAATTTGAACACACAAGTGCAGACACATGGCAACAATCCCTGTTGTAATACTTTATTTAACATCAGGAGATCATAAAGCAAATATTTTTCTGTACTTGAGTATTCTGTCACCTCTTAAAGAACCAATTGGTTGGTTAGTTGGTTGGTTTTGTTTAATGACATATCAACATCTCTATGGGTTATTTAATGCCAAAATCTAAATATTTTATATACAATTTTATGGTTTATGGTTTTATGACTTCAACTATGGATATTTTGTACATAATTTTACACTTTCCAGCAAACATGTTTTTTAGATATATAATTTTTTTAATCATTTCACTCCAAGCAAATTAGAAATGCCACTAGTACACAAGGGGTTACAGGGAGTGAAAGGGAGAGAAAAGACTGAGAGGATTGAGGAAAAGGACAAAAGATGAATAGGATTCAAGAAAGAAGGTGGCGATTGACATAGCATTTAAATTTTTGAAGATTGTAGCTTTCAGGGAAGCAAGTAAACAGGAGGGAGTTCCACAGGTGGGAAGTACAAGAAAAGAAACTGTTGGTGTAGAAGTGGCAGTTGCATTTAACTATTTCAACAGGAAATAGGTGGGACCTAGACGTCAATCTAATGCTTAAATCCATGTAGTTGGTTTACCAGGGAATTTGTTCATGATAAAAAGTAATGTTGGTAATTTTTTTTAATATGTTGCTGGTAATTTTACTAACAAAAATGTATTATTATATATTTTTAGTGTTGTATTGGTTGTCATTTTGCTATAAAAATGTATCATTGGTCATTTTACTCGCAAAATGTTTGTTGTCATTTTATTATAACATATATTGTTAGTAAATCTATAAAATTTATTACTGAACATTTTCTATAAAAATTTATTTTTATATTGTCCTAGAATTTTGATTTTTGTTTGGGATTCACTATTTGCTTGTAGCAGGAATTCTATCAGGTGCTATCAATCCAGATCAGGGTGGATCTAGAAACAGCAGCAATTAAGAAGTAGTTTCATGCTCCTCAAAAACTCCAACGTCTTGATCTGAGGCCTTACTGCAGATGCAGTTTTTCATCCTACTCAGGATTATTAAAGAACTGAACAGGCATTTGAAGGACGTATATTGCATAAGTCTACCAATGTAGTGATTCACACCAAGAAATACCATACATCTGAATTGAATTTAATGTCCATCTGGAACCTTTGATCTAAGAAGATTTGATCTGTGGTGCCCCTCAATATGTACTGGGTTCTCTCTAAGTGATATCAAAGTAAGTTCTATACTCATTGCCACCTCAAAGCCAGAAGCCTTAGGAGCCAAAAAGGGTTGACCTAAGTGGCCGCTAGGTCATCAAATGCAGAATCAGGCCTAGAAAGATGTCACTGGGTGCATATAATTACTAGGTGTGGTGATATGTGTGTTTTATGTTGTGGCTTTCTTGAAGTTATATTTTAGTTTGGTTGGTTGATTTTGTTTAGTGGCATATCAACCTCCATGGAGTATTTAATGCCGAAATCTAAATATTTCGAATGCAATTGTAGGCCTTTAACTACAGATAAAATGTATTGTTAGCAATTCTAATATAAAATGTATTGCTGGTCAATTTGCTTTCAAATTGTATTGTTGATAACTTTACCATAAATAAGTATTGTTGGTAATTTTTTTATATGAAGATGTATTGCTGGTATTTTTACTCTAAAAATGTATTTTTATACTGTCATAGTATTTTGTTTTTGCTTGGGGGGGGGTTCACTATATGCCCATAGCTGGGACCCTAACAGGTGCTACAACCTTAGGTCAGGGTAGACCTGGAAACAATTAAGAGGTGGGTACATACTTTTGAAACCTCAAATCTCCCAATCATATCTTGCTGCCAGACTACCCAAGACTAGCAAACACAAGACAACCACTTTGAAGATTAATTTGATGGCATTCAGAAGTGAAGCTTTTTTTCATAATTTTTTTTACATGTGGAAAATTTAATCTCATATTCTTATCTGATGTAAGTAAAATTACACCAAGAAAAAAAGATGAGAAAAGCTGAAATAATCTTGACTCACTTTAACTGGTATTTTGTTTAAGAGATGACTGAACCACTGGAGTGCAGCTAGTCTGGTTTGGATGGAGTTGTGGGTAAGCATTTGACACAGGACACTGATTACCGAAGCAATATCCAATTGCACATGTCTGAAAATCAAAGAGAAAAACACTATCACTGAAGATTTATTTGAAAACCAAGTATTATCTGTTAGCTATACCATTATACTAAGCAATAATGGATATATATTGTTTTAACAAATCAATGTGTTTCCAAATCTTACTCAGGTACAAATTAAGGACAAAGAAAATCTCATAAAACAAAAAAGTCATTTAGTAAATGATTGGATAGTCATTCTCTGACAATTCTGTAAATGATTTAAAGAGTTATTCCTCGGCAATATGTAGGTGACAATAAAAGCAGGGAAAGTTATGATTGCCCTGAAGCAGCTGACAAAATATCTTACAGCCTCTTTGCTGAAAAGATTCCAGTATTCACATGTATGACCTTAGAGTTACATCTGGGATAATCTTCTGATAGCCAGAGAAATGGTTCTCAAGGTAGCCAACTACTCTTTCATGTGCTTTAGTCTTTCACTACTAAACTCTGTCAGCTATGTCTTTTTCCCTTATCGCTCCCCTCTTTCCAAGACTGCAGTATATTAGACATGATAGTTGACAGTATAGAAAAGACGCTTTCTCTCCATCCATTTGTAAACATCTTTGACTTTGGTGACTTTAATGCTCACCACAACACATGGCTGAAACATTTCAAATGTACTGATGTTGCAGACATTAAATTTTTCCATTGCCCAATCCCTCACATCATAGACTTCCCTAATCATTTCCCTAGCCAAACCAAGCAACAGGCTTCTCTACTGGATCTATTTCTTACCTCCTCTCCTTGCTCTTGCTGAGTTTCACAATACCGCCATCTTGGTAACTTGGACCACTCTGCGGTAGCTATTGATATCTCCTAAGCATCCATTAAACAGGAATCCTCTTTCCGTTAACAGCACACTGATTGGGGCTCATTCTGGGATTTTCTTTGTGACACCCATTGAACTAACATCTTCAACCTCCCAATTAAAAATTGTGTCACTGAGGTTTCTTCCTGGATCAAAGACAGCATGGACACTTTCATCCCTTCTTGGAAATACCAGGTGAAACTGCAATCCACTCCATGGTTCATACCAGCATGCTCAAGTGGCATAGCACACAGGAAACATTATTTCCAGCTATACCAGCATGACAACTCTCATCATAACAGGTGCCTATTTGCTACTGCTTGTAAGAAATGTAAACAAGTCTTTGAAGGAGCTAAGTTCCTGTTAACGAAAGAATGAGGCAACACATAGCCTCTAAAAACTTTGACTCTCGTGATTACTGGAGTCTCTGTAACAGGGTACTAAATAAATGCAAGGTCTCAATTGATTTAAGGTATCATCATCCTCTGTTGATAAAGATGAATGCTTTGTCCATAAATTCTCTTCCAACTCTACTCTTGACTCACATTGGAAAGATCAATCTTTGCAAAGCAAATTCTGCCGCTGAGTTTTGTGAAAAGATCCTCTGGCACTGGAAGTGGATACTGATGTCCATTCAAAGAATCATTCAAACCGGTTGAGTAATCAGCACATATTGAGACTTTTTGTTTGCCTTTTTTACAACTACAATAAAAGCTGTCCATGTGGAGTAATTAACAAACTCTATTACACCTTCTTGATGAAGACAGTGCAGTTCTTTGTCAACTATATTCAGAGCAGCATAATTTTTGTACAGCACCCAAGTCCATCTTGAAAAATGTCACTAAACTTATTTTTTAGCTCATCCATGAAATGATTTTCAATATCAGAAACTGACATGAGGATAAATGCATTGAACACAAAGTTGAGAGAAATTTCAAAAAGTTTCAGTTGTTCTCTCCAGTCAAGACCAATTAAATTTAATTTTTAATTACCTGCGACATGACACACAGCAAAAAATTTTCTATTTCTATGTTATATACAGGCTTTTTTACTTACCTTAATTGATCTTTAGAAACATCCCCAGACTCTTGACTTGGGGAAACTACATCCATAGTTTTTGAGCTGGCCGGGGGTTGATCATCCCTGGAGTCTACTATTTGCATCAAGCTAGTGTTCAACATTTTAGCTGCTTCCTTGACTCTGCATAGCAGTTATAGAAAATAACAGCAGAGAAAGACACTGACTGTATGAAAAGTAACTTGAAAGCAAGACATTATTTTTCATACAAGCTCAAAAGGGCAAGCTTAGAAATCCACACCCACTTTAAGAAAGTCATCCAAGATGACACTTGTCCTTCCAATAAGCTGAAAAAAAAAAAAAACTGCAGAGACACACACAAAAGAAAAACATGCATCTCTGAAGACACATACATAAAAAAAAAAAACGTCTCCAGAGTCAAACAGACAAAAAACACGCATCTCCAAAGACACGCACACACAAACATACATCTCCAGATATAAATATATACACACACACAAACACACATCTCAAGAGACACACACACACAAACACACATCTCGGGAGGCATACATACATAATTTTCAGAGATACACACATGCACAACACACATTTCCAGAGATACACACATGCACAACACACATTTCCAGAGATATACACACACACACACACAACACGCATTTCCAGAGATATACACACATGCACAACACACATTTCCAGAGATATACACACATGCACAACACACATTTCAAGGGACATACACACATGATGCACATTTCCAGAGACATACACACATATGCACATTTCCAGAGACATACACATTTCATTTCCAGAGACATACACACATATGCACATTTCCAGAGACATACACACATATGCACATTTCCAGAGACATACACACATACGCACATTTTAAGGTTTACAAATTGTTTATCAATATCATATTTAAACAACATATTAATAACAAAATTATTTTATGTGTAAATACTTGCTCACAGAAAGTCAGTTTATGTTTGATGTTTGTTTTATTCATACACACAACTTATTTCAGAAATCTGAATATTTTTAAATGCATTTAACATTATAAAAAATAATTTTCAGGTTTCCCCTAATTTTGTTCTGGAAATGAGCAGAATAGCTTTGAATATGCAAAAATGAGAAAAAAATTAAATTCTCAAAATTATTTTGATGTTCATTTTTGATGTTCATTTTTGATAGGAGATTAGGATTTATACTAAAAAAAAAAAAAAAAAGATCTCATCAGTGCTTTTGTTCTTGGTTTTCAATTCATGCTATTTAATAGTCATAGAAATATGATCTGGAAGTTGCAATAAAACCAACAGATACAAGATGAAAAGATGAAGAAAAGATTAATAATAATGATACTAAGAGATTTAGACAACTCAAGATTAAATTGTCTGCTACTATTACAATGATAATAACTAAAGTCTGTTTGTCAAAATAATATAGCTTAAAAAAGAGAGCAACTCCAACCTCTTTCCTGAAGAAATAAACAATAAAAACATTTTTTTAAAATAAACTTTTTAAAAGGATACTGCTTTTGAGAATCATCATTGTAAGCCAGGCAAGGTAAAGTAGCATTTATGATACCAGATGCAAATGGTAGCATCGTTCTTCCAGACAATCTGACAAACTCATATAACCAGTTGAGAGCAATCAACTGAATTAATTCATCTGCAATAAAATAAAAAGATAATTAAACCAGCTGCATGTAAATAATAACCTGTTAATTGCATGTGAAAGTAATTATTTCTAGCTAATCTGTTCCACAGGTTGTTCTTTAAGTTAACATGAATGTATATCTAAAAACCATTTTATACCCAAAATCATTTAATCAGTACCCCAACTATTTATATAGTCTCTCTTTCTCACATATACATTATATACAGTACTTTTAGATGCTCATCTGGTAAATTATTAGCTAGTGTGTTATGTTAGGGTTTTATAGATATAACACTATTGAGGTTCTTTACTAGAAAAAAACTGAATGAATATAAGAACAAATCATGTTAAATACAATAATGTCACCAATCATTTGAAAGAACTTCTCATTGCTGTATGGTTTCATCAGCTGTAAATCACACATAAAATATCTAACAATGCCTTGGACAAAACTTTGGCTCATTGAAGAGATGATGCGACAATTACTAAGAAATTATTAGTTTCAAGAAGCACCAAGTGTTTTGAAACAAGACATGCCTCTTGATTCACAAGAAAACACAGAAACAAATTAAGAGAGTAATGAATCTCCCAAAGAAAAAGATAAATGATAGGCTAGTGCCTAATCTCATGGCAGGAGATATCATTTTAACATTTGGAATTAAGGAGCATAACAGCAAAGACTGATTGTTTTTTATGACTTAACAACCTTTTGCAGGTTATTTAAAGCCAGAAAATATTTTCAAATTGTAAGATTTTTGGAGAGATAATAATGATTTTCTGATACAAGACTTAACTCATAGCTTCAGGTGGAAAAATAGTTGAGCTGATACCTTTTTAAAGGGCATTTCTGCATGTAAGCAAATATAACAAACCTGATTGAAATTGTTACTCTGCTCTCTGACTTCGAATTCCAAGCCATTATCCATTACACCACCTGCACATCCAAGTTTACATTGGTATTCTCAAACGGTCACCCATCTTGGTACTGACCAGGTTCAGTGTTGCTTAACTGATAATCAGACAAGAACCAATATTTCAACATGATCCTAAGCTTCATAGCAGCGACAAAACCAACACTTAGCACTGGTTTCTTAGTTGCCACACACCTTCTTAAGAGTCTGAAGGTAAGACTTTATTAGATTTTATTATTTATAGAGTGTAGACTTTGTATTTGCAAGAATGCTACTGTGAAAATTTAATTCTAAAGTGGCTGACTTACCTGAACTCTGACTATGAACAATAAGAATGTTGGCCATTCCAGAATAATTAACCCCATTCTTTGACTTCTGTATCCCCAGTAAAAAGGCATTCAACACAGTTTCACACCTGCAGAGAGAAACAAAAACGAATTCAATACAAATTATATGAGTAAATCCAGCATTGCTGACACAGTTAACCTGGCTGTTAGTCTCAAAAAGCACCTCCAATCTGTGGTTGACTGGGGCAGGAAATGGCTTGTAAATTTTAAGGCATTCATAATGAAACTGCTATGATTTACCCACCATAGCCTCCTGCCTCCTATTAGCATGGCTGATGCTCAACTTCACAAGAGCCTCTCACTGCACCTTCTTGGTCTCACTTTTTCCACTAACTGGAGATGGAACAAATACATTGAAACAATAGCTGCATCTACCGCAAGGAAAGTTGGTTCTCTGTGTCACACCAGAAGGCTTTTGTTGTCTGAATCCATCATTCACATCTACAAATCTACCTTTCATTCACATATGGGATATATGGTCTGGTGCACCTGCTGTTCATCTAGAGGATCTCGACAAAATGCAAAGAAGGATATGCAATGTGATCAGTTCTGACTTGGCATCTCAACTCCAGTCACTTTGTTACAGATGTGGCTCCCCTCTGTCTTTTCTACAAATATTTTCATGGCACCTGCTCTGATGAGCTATTTTCACTGGTGCCCCAACTGCATGAATTTAAGCATGCTACGAGGTTGGCATCTCGGTCCCACCCTTTTATTGTCAAAACAGTTAAATGTAACCACCTCTTCTACTCCAACAGCTTCTTCTCTCACACTTCTCAACAGTAGAAATCCCTTCCCCTTACTTGCTTCCCTGATAACTATAATCTTCAAAGATTTAAATGTAATGTCAATTGACATCTTCTGATGCCTCAATCTCCATTCTTCTTTTTATCCTTTCCTTAATCCCCCCCTATACCCAGTTTTTTCTCTTACTTTCACTCTCTCTAACCCTTTGCATACTAGTGGTACTCACACTTTGCTTGGAGTGAAATGTTTATTTAAAAAAAAGGTAGATAAACAAAAAATAATGAAAGTTATCCAATAATTAATACATAAAAAACACAAGAGAAGAAATTTAAATAGCAATCATTATTCAAGTTGTGTTTATACAATCTACAACATCAAAAGGTAATAAGGTGAAAATTTTCATTCACTCTAATAGCTTAATGTATAATAAGTGACATAGCAAATACACTTATATAAAAAGTAAACAGCTCCAGTGAATATAATTTGAAAATTGACCGTTTCATACTTCAGTTAGAAAATTTCTGCAATTTATTAATTTTCAGAGGTATATGAACAGAGTAAAAAATGTAAATTTTATCCCTCCTCACAGAAGAATTTGTCATAGCTTAGTTTTGATACAAGGTGACTGTCATTAATGGGATGACAAATAAAGGAATATCACCAAAGTAACATTAGCACTTAAAAATGGGACTGATGATTAACAAATTTTGTAATTTTTGATTTTGAGTAAGTTTTGGTTATTCAATCTGTATATTGTCCATTGAAAATAATTTTACAAAAGAAATCCACTGAAAACGATTGATTGGTTGATTTCATTTAGTTGTATATCAACCCCTTATGGGTTATTTAATGTTGAAATCTAACTATTTTGTACAAAATTTTATACTTTCAGAGTAAAGGTATGTTCTTTTAGTTATATAGTTTGTAGATCATAAAATGTATTGTTGGTAATTTTACTATAAAAATGTACTTTTATATTTTTTAAGTGTAGCATTGTCATTTTGCTATAAAATTGTATTGTTGGTCATTTTATTATAAAATGTACTGTTGATTTTTGTTTGTGGTTTCACTATTTCCTCATAGCTTGGACTCTAACAGATGCTACAACTCCAGGTCAAGCAGTTAAGAGGTGGTTCCATGCCCCACAAAACCCCCAATCTCCAGAGAAGAGACCTTGCTTCCAGATGTAGTTTATCATCATACCCAGAACACTCCACTGAAAATCACCAACAAACTAATTTCCAGTGGCCAGAAATTAAAGCTAGCATTACTGATAATAGAATTACTTGTTTATTGATTTAAATATTAGTGAATACCCATATTTGAAATAGATGCCCTGTCTATTTTAAACAGTGTGTAGTACATCTATTGGCCTGCAAAACTGAGGAATCTTAATGAAAAAAAATGGATTCTCTAGCGGGGTTCAAATCAGCACCCCACCTTTGTAAAAGAAATCACCATTTAATCCTGCATGCCTTAAACTGCTCGGCCACAGAGAATGAGCAGCTCAGTAAAAAGCAAATAGAATCTTACTCAGAGCTACAAAAGACAGGAAATTTTGGAGATCCATGATAGTCCACATCCTGAAAGGTCACAATATATAGATAAAAGTATCAAGATTGGTCTGCCATATTTCATCTTTCCAGTGAGATGCTCATAAATATAAGATTTCTTCGTATATGGTTAAAAACTAAAAACCCAGATATTTAAACTGTAAGTTCCGATCTTCAGTTTGACACTAAATTCTATTTTATATTAATAACAGACATTATTTAATTAGAAATGCTTTTAATTGCTTATAGATTATATTATGGACACTACTGTCTTTATAAAAAAATATTTTTGAAGAATAATGAATTTTTACAAGAATTTTCTTTTTTTATATTTTAATTATAATAATTTATAAATGCTTTAAAAATCTGTGATGTTTAGTGATTTCAAAATGAAAACACCTTCCAGACAATTTAAATTAGTTTTGAAACAGAGTAAAGTTTTTTGCTTATTGGAATTAAAACTAGAATAAAAGCTTCAAGGAAGGTTTTTCATTTTTTAATATTTATTTTAAAACTTAGGTATTGTGTTTCTGTGGAGGTAGGTAAGTAGATGTGTCTATATATATATATATATATATATATATATATATATATATACACACACACACACACACACACAAAGTGTATCAAAAATACTTTTACAAACTTTGGGAGTGGGTTCCTCACACCAAAACAAGGACAAAAATCCACACAAACCTATGTCCACAAATCCTTCATTTTGAGAAGTCTAAAGAAAATTTAAGGTAGATGTGCTGTGTCGCCACATAGACTAGGTTACATTTGTCATTTGTGCATATTTATGGCTAGTCTGTCTTCCATGTTTAATGTGTGTAGTAGTGAGTGAACTGAGAAGTGCTCCGTTTATGAATGACAGGATATTCATATCGCGAGCAGGCAGATATGATTTTTATACATTTATATTTTAGGTGACTGTCTGATAGGTTCATATGTTCTCTCAGCACATCTTACAGGAGCTGTCTACAGAATTTATTTCAAACACACTTCCAGAGCTGCTAGAGGATGTACCCCTGCTAATATGAAGATGTGTGTGGTTCATGCATGTTAGGGATCCAACACATTTTAGTTACATTGTTTGCAATGCACTGGTTATGAAAGATGGATAGGTAGGGGGGGACTGGTCCCATGGCCTGCATGTCTCCCCAACCACAAGCCTTTGGATTTTTATCTATAGGGCCACTAAAACAATTGGTATATGCAACAGACATTAATAATGCAGAGATGTTTCATCAACGTGTCGGGGAGGGGGGTGCGAAACCATTTAATACTGTGTGGTAGTATTTGAAAGGGTCTGCCAGTCAATAATCCAATGGATGTATGTGTGTGTAGAAGCAAATGGGGGACATTTTGAACATTTGTTATGAGTTGCTGTGTTGAGGTACAACAATGGCCTTTTGGACATCTGTTTATATGGACATTTTTACCTTGTTTTGGTGTCAGAAACCCACCCCTAAAGTTTGTAAAAGTATTTTTGATACACACTGTATATACATATATACAAACACAGATAGCAAAGTGCAGTAAAATTGAGGGGATTTGTGGCCTTCAGTGAAAGGCAAGAAATATCATTGATGTAAAAACTTAACAAATACTAATAAAACTGATAATATTCCCAATGAGAGGATTTACAAGTTGTCATTTCTCATTGAGAATTACTGTTCCAATAACTTCAATAAAAAATAAAAAAAAAATAAATAAATAAATAAATATTTATAAAAATGTTGGAGGAGGGCAGGGACAGTTACTGTTTGTATTCAACTCAATTTGTCACCTAAAATATGACTAAATTTCTTTTGTCTTATTTGTTAACAAATGTGACAAAACCATTCAAGGCTAATATTGTTGGTTTCTAATTAAATGTTTCAAATAAAAATTTAAATTTAAGTCAAATGTCTGACCTTATCTTCTGAGGTAGAGATGTACACAGAGTATAAACCCTGCCTCCATTATTAATGAAATGGTTAAATTCTAAGTTTTTATCAAATGAAGTTGCACTAAATTGGTTAAATATAAGAAAATAGTAGCTCACAAAAGAAATTAACTTTATTATAATAAGATAAGTAAAATCCGAGTTTTACTCTATTTGGAATGGAATCAGTTTGTTCTTGAATATGTTTTATTAGACGATGCATTGTTAATTATTCATTGTTCAACTAGCAATATTTCTTTCATATTAATTTCAGCTCAGTTGAAAAAGATAATGTAGAGCAATGTAATTAGATTTAATTGACATTCAGACAGAAAGCTCCATAGCTGATTATATAAAGCTTTCAAAAGAAAAAAGAGGTGCAAGCTGAAGCTTTGCCAAAGACTCATTCTTTAGTTGGATCAGCATTGCTTACTAATGACAGTTTTAAAGCTACACTGAAAAAAATAATACTTAAATTAAGATGAAGGAAATACTAGTAAAAAAAAAAAATGAATAACCATTACCAAATGGTTCTTTCGAAGTATTTTTTTATATGATTGTTCCTGTCTAGGTTAGTTCATCTGTATGAGGGTTAGGTACAACTTAAATAGACTGGTCCACTCATACAAAATAGGCAAAGTATTCGAAAAAACCTTTTTCTAGATTAGCATTCTTTAAACTTTCCTTAGGTCACAACACATGTCAGAATCCAAAATTATACTTTTTATCATCTTAGAAGAGGGACCTGTTCATAATATTGATATAGTGTAAAATCAGTCCCTAACTTTTACAGAGTTATTGGACTTATTTACAAATGTCAATTTTGAAAATGTGGTAAAATCATTGATATCTGCACATTTTTTTTTAATTTTCTGAATTTTTAAAACATTTTTTAGACATTTTTTAAAGAATATAAAAACAAATTATGTATGTGATTTTTTCTGAAGCACATGCACAAACATTTGCGGTTAATTATTTATATATTAAAGACATTTTTATGTTTAACGTTCTTTTTTATAGATACAAGTATTTAAGTAAATGCTCTGTTTATAATAAACAGTATTAAATAATATTTACCGGCCTGAATGTCCGAGAAATTTTCATAGAAAATATTCGTCCTTTGACAGGATTCGAACCTGCATCCTATACTTATAATATACTGTATTATTTAATACTGTTTATTGAATGTAATGGATTCAAGTGGGATTCAAACTCAGCTCCCCGATTCCCCAATCCGAGCCACTATCCATTACTCCACCATGCCTCCTTACATAGTAAAAAGATATGAAAATTGTAAATGCTATTCTCTCAAAGAAAGATGAATACATAGTCAGGTTTTGCTATACATAAAACTTGTAGAGTTAAACATCAAAATTAATTTTTATGGGGAGGAGTTTAATAAAGAATTCACAAAGATAATTCATTTGTAAAAATTAGGTACCTCCATTTTTTTGTAAGAAAACAACATAGCATAATGAAAAAGGCTACAAACTTAATAAAAACAAAGTTTTATCATCAAAATGTTAATGTTATTATTAAGATGCAAGACCAAAGTATTTTTTTGATTATTTTTTAAAATTTTTTAATCCTTTCTAGCACATCTGAAATTTTGATTCAAAATCTTGTTTTGTTTATGTCATTGGACCCAGGTAATAATTACAAAATACTTTTTTGATGCTTTTATCCTTGGAAAACACATTAACTTGGAAATTCTTGCAAAAATCAAATAATTGTCGCATTTTAATGAAACATTCAGGACTTATTCACAAATGAATGAAATTATTTTTTAAATTTATTTTTTGTTTTAGAAAATTTTGGTAAAAAAATATTTTTTTTTTTACATATGCTAGCTCTCCACGCTCCACTTAATTTCATGAAAGTTCACAAAATACTTTTCTATTTCCTGAATTTTTTTATTAGTTAGTATTAGTAGGACTCCTTGGAAAATGTAAATCACTTAATTTTTTTTCAAACCTTTTACTATTCTAACCTAAAATCTGCTCCAAATAGTAAGCTAAAAAAATGTAATCAAATTATAACGCTATTTAATTAGAAAAGCTTTTAATTGCTTTTGTAAATAAATTATATTAAGGACACTATTGTCTGAAGAAATAAAATTTTTTCAATGAATACTGAATTTTTACAATAATTTTTTCATTTTCTTTAAATTTTAATTATAATAATTTATAATAGTTTAAAAATCATTTAAAATTCTGTATGTGATATTGTAACTAAGTGAAAACGAAATTTACAAATCCAAAATTGAAAAAATTAAACAACGTTTTACTATTCTATTTTTCTATTTTTTAGTTTTTATTTTTTTAATTTAATTGTTTCCTTTTTCATCTGTGATAGCCTAAACATGTCATTATTATGAAAAGGTCATGTGCTTGGATTGAAAAAAATAGAAAAATGTTTTTAGTTAATATTAATTAAAATTTATTAACTATTAATTATTAAACAAATTTTAATTATTATAAAAAATTTACAGATCAATGTGTTAATTTTGTTGCTTACATATCTTTATTTTAATTACATCTGTTATTCAATTTTAAAATTAATTTAAGAAAATTTTATAGCACTTTAAATTTTTCTAATTTTTCATAAAGCATCTTCAAACATAACTAAAAGTCAATAAAATATTAGATAATTGCTGAAAATATGTTAATTTCTAGAAATTACTAGGTAGCGAAAAACAAAAAAATGCATTCACTTAGTATTCATAAATTTATGTCAATTCTGGTCATCCATACTAGCTGTCATCACCTCAGAACTATACATCAATAAAGATCTAAGAAAATTGTATATTACTTTTTTATGCTATAAGTAAGTAATATTTATTTCAAATCAGATTAATTTAACTTTAAATTTGCTAATTTTACTCAACTAACATGTCACAAATATATATTTTATTTTTGGAAGATTTTTAAAACTGATAAATTTGTTTTGTTTACAAATTTCTTAAAATTAAGAAAATGTCCGCTTTTAAGAAAATTTTCTTAAATCAACCAAAAAATTGAGATTCCAATCTATATAATTTTTATTTGAATACCCCAGAATATTTTACTTACTGGAAATAGTAAATTTAATCATTTAGCTTTCAATTAGAGCTAAAATGAAATCTTCAAGAATGCTTTTTCATTTTTTAAAATTCATTTTAAATCTTAGGTATTGAAAATTTATGCCAAATTAGTGAAAGAACCTAGTTAAAATTTACACAATTAAATTGATCAATTTTCAATAACAACCAACATTGTTTTTATAATAGAAATTCAGATAAGGAGAATAAAAAAAGTAAAATAAAAAAATAAAATTTAAGGTCCTTAAGTGCTTTATTATCAATTTTTATGACTATCTTCAACTAATCTGCATTAATCAACTTGCTATTATTATTATAGAAAATATTTTGTTATTAAATAACTAATCTTGTAATTTTTTTGCATATTATATAATCAAAGAGACAAACATCCAATTTACCTAAGAATTAACATTTGTTACCAAAAAACAGATGACAAATAAAATGAATGTAGAACTGACTTACATTTTGCTAATTTCACGACTGTTATCCCCAAGAATTTTGAAAAGACCATCCAAAATGTCTGGTAACAAGACAAGCATGTTGATGTCTGGGACTGCATCAAGCACAGAAATCTGCAAACATAGAACACAAGAGAAAAGATTTTATTAATTCTTTTTTTCCCCCCAAGGTAAATAAATTAAAACAATTTATCTTCAATTGGTACTACTTAAATTAAGTGGTCCACTCATAAAAAAAATAGGGAAAGATGTTTTAGAAATAATCTTTGTAGACTTTAGACATTCCTTGGGCCATTGTCAGAAAAGAAATACTGATTTTTATTAACGTAGAAGAGGGTCCTGTTTAGAATATTGATACAGGGTCAAATCAATCCTTGACTTTTACAAAGTTATTGGACTTAGATGTTTTACATAAGAAAACAAATTTTTTGGAGACGACATTACAAAAAGATTTCTTTTAAATAAAGAACAAATGTGTGTGTGTGTATGTAAGCAAAGAACAAAAATTTACATAAATTAATAAAAGTATATATCCATTTATTCTTCATTTATGATAAGTAATCCTTAATGTTAAATGTTATTCCATGCATTTCCCAAAAAATCCTGTGCAACAAAAAAAAAAAAAAAAAAAAAAAAATGCAGATACCAATGATATTACAACATTTTTAAACTTGACATTTGTAAATAAGTTCAATAACTCTGTAAAAATCAGAGACCAATTTTACACTATCAGTATTACTAATAGGACCCCTCTTCTAAATAAAAACAATATTTTTCAATTCAGACAAGTGTCATAACCCAAAGAAAGTCTAAAGAATGCTAACACAAAATAACAAAGTCCAATAACCCTGCAGACATCTGGGATTGATTTAACACTGTATTGATATTATAAACTCCCCTTCTAAATCAGGAAAAAACCAAAAACTCTATTTTTCAATTCTGACAAGTGTTGTGGCAAAAAAAAACACATTGCTTGCTTCAAATCTTTCCCTCATTAATACATCAATGGAACCAATGCATATGAAATTCAATTTTATATTTTATGCAATTTATGTATCAGCTAGTCATAACCTAATTAAGGCAAACATTAATTTTTAATTTTTAAAATTAAATTGTATGAAAGATCAGCTAAAAAATTACTAGAATTATAATTGATACATCCATTCTTGAAATTTGCCCAATTCCAACAGAATCTTTTAATAAAATAGAAAAACAAAATAAGTACCATAAAAAGAGAACAGACAGACAGACACTTGTCTACTTTATTCATAAAGTAAAAGAAAGCCATGAGGGAAACAGATTTTCTTAAAAGCAATGAGTTGGATAAACTCCTTTTTTGTTTTTTCACAAGTATAGCTTCATATTTTAAAAAATTCACATCAATTTGTGAAAAGGATGAAAAAGAAAATAGCTCTCTGATGCGCCTCCTAAAGTCATTTTTTTTTATTTTTTTTTTTTACTCATCCATATTTGGTATATGGTATAATGGTATATACAATATTTGATATCCAAGAAAGGTAATCCAATCAGTTTTAATCACGTCATTTGTAAGAAGTTTATATTTTCCATTGGTGAGCTGTAGCATTTCACCAATCTTAAAAGTGGGAGAAGTCATCATATATGAAAAGTTTTCCATAGCGTTGGCAGCTGGAGTTCAAAATAAACCCATTAATGCAGTTAGTCCTTTAGGAATCAAATCAAACTAGACCAACAAATTGAAATTGCACTTTTCCAATTTCCTCACAAACACGGACAAGTTTTTAAACAAATGCCGAACTAGCCACTCTGAATGTTTTGTCTTCAAACAGCCTCTACAGACTGATATTATTTACTAAACATTTAACAAATTCATTGATATTTGGCCTGTACCATTTTCTTTCATATATATAAATTCATCCAATTTTTTTCTAAAATAGACTAATCCAAATGTTTCACAATGAATTCCCAGGGAGGTGCATGCATATATATATATATATATATATATATATATATATATATATATATATATATATATATACATATACACACACACACACACACAGAGTAAAGTGTCTTATTTTGAAAAACACTTCCTAGATATTTAGTTTATAAAATGAAAGGATAACATAATATGAATGATTTTACAATACAACTGCTGCCACAACTAATAAATAATAATAAAGCATAATATATTAATATGAAAAAAAATTATTATCCTTGACATAGTTATTTTGTTATATCCATTTCAGCAAAAAATATCGCAAATAAAAGAGGTTCTTTTGTTGTTAACACATGGTTCCAGATTAACAGGTGTCTATTGTAAAACTATGATTAGCAAATTCACCTGGCACACTATATTCTGATCTTCACTAAGTGCTCTATTATTGTGTCATTGTGCCAGCCTAAATTGAGTATAGCTGCCACTTGAATAATAGTTGAATTAGTTCATTAAGCTATTGTGTCTGTACCAAATGAAGCTAAACCTATTATCCATGTGGTTTTTAGGTTCAATCCCAACCAGTTTTACTAAAGAATTTTTTATAATTTTACAATTTGAAAAAAAAAGAGATTTTTTTTTTTTAATCATTTCACCCAGGTAAGGTGATAATGCCACTAAGATGAAAGGAGTTAGTTACTGAGAGTGAAAGAAACATTATTAATGAGAGAGGACAATAAAAAGGCAGAATATGACAATTGACATTGCATTTAAATTTTTGAAGGTCAAAGATGACTGGAAAGCAAGAATCTGAAAGAGAGTGCCACAAGTGAGAAGAACAAGAGAAGAAACTGTTAGCATAGAACTTACGGTTATATTTACCAATTTCAAGAGTAAAATGATGAGACCTAGCTTCCAATCTAGTACTGCATTTAAATTAATAAAGTGAAGGCACCAAAATGGAAAGCTCCTCAGAACAGTTACCATGAAAATATTTATAGGAAATATACAGGGAAGCTATGTTACCACGGTGGGAAAGTGACTGAAGCCAAGATGTTTTGAATTTATTCAAAGATAAAACATATTCCTTGTTAATTTCAGATAATTTTTAACTTTCATCAATTTTTTTTTTTTTTTGCTTTTAATAAAAATGAAAAGTAAAAAGATGACAGTTAAAATGAGTCTTAAATTAAGAATCAACAACATATAATCATTATTGAAAACATTTCAGTTAGAATCATGGGTGTGATAGTCTAGTGTATTTATTAGGAAAACGATATATTGCTTGCTTCAAATCTTTGCTTCATTTTTTTTTTTTTTACTGTCATATTGGAACTTCTGCATTGGATCAGAGTATCTACTCATTCTCCCTAGGTTCAAAGTATAACTTCACAGCACTTCTCTCTGTGTGCAAGGAAAAATGTGTTATATAGACAAAATAAATATATTGTATGTGTGTCATGTTTCTAGCATGTCTCAAACTTTATGTCTATAGTTTCATTTAGTTGTATAATAAAAAAAGAATTTGCTTTCAGAATCTAACAAACAAAATAAGTTTGTTGCTTCTCTAAAATTTAAAAGAATTGTTTCTTGTTGAGAAACAAAATATTCCTTATTACATTTGAGGGTAGGACTTAAAAAGAATATATTAAAAAGATACATTTTCAGGAAAAGTTGGAAAATTAATGCCTGCAAAGAAACCGAGTGTCAAAAGTGAAAAGATGTTTTTTCAGTGCAATGTTTAATAAGATGGCTCTGCCTAAAATGCTTTCTGGTTGAGTCCATTTCAGGCAAGGAAGTCAGATTCAATGACAAGATTAGAATTGCTTTGTAAAGACTTCTTACAATCAATTAAGGAGGAAAAAAGTTTAAAATACCAAATACCCGAGTGATCAGTTGCCACATTTTAGTTCCAAAAGGACATCGAATTAAAGACATTTTCTGTGTTTTTGTTTCTGCCTAAACTCAACTACTGGTTCCTGTGAAGAAATTTCAGTTTTGAACCTACAGTAGTTCCAGCATTGCATGTGAACTTTGCTTTCTAAAATCATTCTAAGAATGAAAACAATTTTAAAGAGAAGGCCAGGAGAAATAACAGGTTTATTTCAATAAACAAATAAATGAGGATGTAAAACAAAAATACTTTAACCTCTTGAGACAAAAGAAATATACCGATTAAATAAATCATTGTTATATGACTACACGTTAAATTAACTATAACACTAAGTAGAAGCATTTGTTTTTTCTATAGGAGACTGTATCTATTTACACTATTTACATTGTTTGGACTGTTGTACTCATCTTTATTGTCAAATTCACAGACTGCGTATGAATCGAAAATGAATTGAGTAGCTACACAAAAATAGAAAAGTTGTGCAAGAAAAGGATGTGTCTTCTCTCCAGATTCATTCAACCATTACAAAGAAACTATCCTAAGGACGCTGGGACACCCCCCCTCCCAACTAGGATTTATCATTAGAGGGTATAATCTTAACACTATAAGATACACAGATGAAACTGTGTTAATAGCTGACATGGAAAGAAACCTACAGAACATCCTAGAGGGTAGTAAAGGAAAGTGCGAAAAAGGGACTAACAATCAACTGCAAGAAGACAGAAAGTATGGTTGCCAGCAAGACAAAAGGCCCAAGATGCGAGTTACGAATTGGAGATGTCAATATCAAGCAGGTACAGAAGCTTAAATATCTGGAAAGTGTTTTAACAGAGGAAGGAAAATGGGACACTGCAATCTGATTACGTATTGGATTAGTAAAATATACATTCCAAAAGCTAAGCAAAGTGCTGAGAAGCAGAAAAAAGTTGTTTGAAACAAAGAAATGCGAGTTAGCTTGCTAAGTGATATCCATCCTTTTATATGGCGGTGAATGCTGGACAGCATTAGATGGATACAAATAAAACCATTACTCCTACTCATGTAATTAGTTCAATCCTCATTTGGTACCCCATGCTTTCGGCCTTCTATGCATATAAAATAATTTAGTGCATCTCGACATAGTGCAATGGTTAGCAAGCTTGTCTCACTGCATCAATTATGACTGAATAGTGAGTGATCAACACTGAGTGTCCCATGTATTCAGTCTTGTGCCACATCTAAGCTATGTGTCACCATAGGAGAATTTCTGAACACCCTTGTTGCTAAGCAAAGAAAACAAAGTAGTCCTAAACTCTATACTCGGCAAACTTAAGCAGCTAGATTGAAAGTCAATATAACACTGCCTTTTCAAAACTTCCTTTGTCTCCAGCAGTGTTTCTTATCAATTATCGAGATCGCATCCTAGAGAGGGTAATACATGTCCTTCTCCTTCCAGATTTTGCCACTTTTGTTAAATAATAGTCTAGCAGACTATTATTTTTTAGAGAATTTTATTTCTCCCCGACTTCCTTATTTTGACCTTTGAGGTCAGATACAGGAAAACAAAAAGTTTTTGATTGGCTAAAACTAGCATGGGAATGTCAGATGTAGAAAGAGACTTCAGGGAATCGAGTTTTACATGTCTTGGAACTTGCTCCCCAATCGGAATGAGAGAGCAACCCCTACTGGCTAGTTAAAAAAGTACCCACTGACATGATTAATAAACTATTAAGTCAAAATTCCCTCTGGTTGATGTCTCATTTTACCTCCCAACAAACCATGTGATGATCACCCAGCCAAGAGAAGAGAAGATATACAACAGTGTATTAATTGAAGTCCCCCAAGAGAACTCCCAGCATGAAGGGGTTATACAATATTTTCCCTTTGGTTATAGTTTTACATTCCTTGTGTCTCAATTTGAGACAGCTGGTTTCTCCTTTATATTATACTTTTCCATACTTTTGTGGAAAGTTATAAATGCAATTTTTCTTATGAAACCCAAAGTGTTGTTTTACTACTGGAAAAGCATTCTGATGTACTGCCAACAAACCCTTCGGATCTGTCCGGCTGTGCCTCTTACATTCTTAATTCCTGAGATGAAGTATTGTAATTATTTATACAATTTACATTGTTTGGACTGTCATCTTTGTTGCCATATTCACCTTCAGCATCTGTCTCTATTTCTGAGATGATGTATTGTAACTATTTACATTGTTTGAACTGTTGTCCTCATCTTTGTTGCCATATTCACAATGTTTTGGCTGTTGGATGCTCCTTGAGGACACATGGCCCAGTGGGTAAAAATGTTGGGTGAATCCAATGACTTAATCCAAAGAGTTGTGAATTCAATACCTGGTTACAGCTGAGGTGAACAAAAACTTGGAGAGTTGAGTGAAAGGGAGATAACTGATACTGAGACATCTGAAAGAGGCATGGCACAAGGAACTAGAACAATCTACCCCAGTGAACAAAAAGGGTTCAGTTCAAAATTCCAATCACCTGAAGGAGGCCAGAGCATACAACAGCCAAAACATTGTGAATATGGCAGTGAAGTTGAAGACAACATTTCGAACAATGTAAATAATGTAAATAAAAATAAAAAAATGTTTGATGACACTGATTGGTGATACTGAAGATCGTCAACATCTGGTTTTTCATCTTAGAAACAACCAATAAGAGTGTGTTACATTGCTGATAATGCTCATTGATTTTTTTTTTCTGAAACAAAGAAAGTTAATGACTATTCTGAAAGGTTGTTGTAGAGTGAGTAGCCATGTTTAAATGTAAAATGAATGAATGAATGGCAGCACAAGTATTTTACATGTCTTTTTTTATTTTTTAATGGTTGCCTTAAAAAAATAAAAAATAAAAAAAAGGCATAAAAATACTTGTCTAATATGATGAGGGGAAACTCCTGCACAAATAGAATCAAGACACAGATGACAAGCAATGTCCATATCAAGAGTGTACTTACCCAAGAAACAACAAATTGTCGTGCAAAAGAATTTGGGGTGTAAATACGATCCCTCAGCAAAGGAATAAAAGCGACCAAGTCAAAAGAAGAACTTTCAGTAACAATGTCCTGCAAAAGAAGAAAAACAATTTTTTTATACACTAATATGAATAAACATTTTAGAAGATAGAAAACAAAACAAATGCTAAGTTGCCTGACCACAAGCTGAAATAGTTTCATATTTCTCCAGATACAAAAAAATCAGTTTTATTGTCTAATGAAAGCTAGAATTTCAGATGCTGATATTCTCAGTAGGCAGGTCCTTCTCACTTGGATATTTGGCCCAACATGTTCCTGACTATTTTCACTCTCCACCTGACCTTGTATCATACTAAGCTAAGTTTATAGGACAAAAGCAAATTTATATTTGTAATTTATTTTTTTTAAATCAGTTTTTCTTTCTTATTTAAAAGAAAAATGTTTTTTAAAATTCATAAATTTGTTTTAAATTTATTCAATTTTACCAACATTTTCCCTAATTGTTAATTTTTTTTTCAATCTGTCAGAATGTCACAATATGGCAATTGCCACTGCATATATATATATATATATATTATATATATATATAGTAGTACCACATCATGTTGGCTGGCAGACTTCTTTCACAAACCAATTCTGATAGGATTTAACATGCCATACTCATTGTCCCCACTTGTTTCAGACTTGGTTTAGTAAATAGTACCTTTCCATGAAGAGAGATTAACAAGCTATTACAACTCGGTCCTCACTGAGTGACCCTTGTGGCCTTGTGCCAGAAGAAGCTCCCTTAACATGGAACCATGTTAAGCCAACAAGTCTCACATCATTACTGTTGAAGAATTTGATCATCACTAGGTGCCACACAATAGTCAACTTGAACTATACTCATCAAAAATTATTTAATAACTAAAATACATCATAGTTATGGGTCATATTTTAAATATTGTTTTTCATATCAAATTGTTCTTTGTAATATAATTTTACAAGATAAAGCATTGGAACTGTTCCTGCTTGTGTGTTTGGAATGTTTCAAGATAATACAGGAGACTATCTTCTCATAGTATCTGACCAGTGTGAGGCTAATTAACATTGACAGGAAAGAGATAAGAATATGTTTATTTTGATAGACCAGCCCAGAGAGAGAGAGAGTTCACATGGACAAAGATATATCCACCCAGAGACAGGGCACCTTGAGATGGTGTAATGGTTAGCAAGCTTGCCTCACTAGAACAATTACGACCGAGTTGTGAGTTTGATCCTCACTGGGAGCCCCATACTTTCGGCCTTGTGCCACATCTAAGCTACACTTGGAAAATCACTATATCCACCCAGAGACATATCTCTATCCATATCTTGAAATCTTGACATAAATGGAAAATGACATTATAGTGACCAAGGAAAGACTGATCAATTTTCCTCTCCTTGTATACAAGAAGAAAATGGATTTCACTCTTAATAATCTGTCAGGTTTGGAAAATAAGAATAAACTAGTTATATTTTTCTATACATTATATTTATTTCCTTATTGCAGTAGGCATATAAGACATCTTCAGTTCAACATTTTTCTTCTTCCAATCCTTTTCTCAGCTGAACCTGTATTTTAGGAAGTTGCCTTGTGATGGTCCAACACTGTTTTCTACCACCAAAAACAACAAGTCTTCAATGTGACACACCAGCAGTTTGATTTAACTAACAAAGTGGTAACATAATCTAACAAAATCATAATTTTTCCAAGAACATGTGTTAAGCATAAGATTAATTTATGTATTGCCCTGATCCAGTTTTTTAAAATTTTTTTCTTCTCTCCAAATTTCCACATGGCTCCAAGTTTCCTGTCCCCAAACTTACTGCAATATATTAAACAATACAGAACCAGCTGTTTGATTAAAACAAAATAGTATTATTATTATTATTACTGCATTGCATTAACAATTTCAAACTATGACCAATAAGATCTTTTTTTCCCCTATAAGGTAACATACTACAGCTAATTACTAACTAATTCAAAATTATGATGGTCTCCTAGCTTACGGATAAAAATTTAAACAAGCTCCAATAAACTATCTGATAAGTATCCTGACATTTTTGCTAAAAAATTTAAAGTCTCATAAAGAAAAGAAAATTATGTTTGAATATTTTAATAAAAATAAATGTGCAAAAGAATTTTTTATTTTATTTTCTTGCAATTAAAATTTCAAAAAAGATATTCAAATTATTGTAATATTCTTTAAATTTAAAAAAAAAAAAGTTTGTGTGTGTACCAACCATCTGTGTTTAACCTATTTGGTTAGAGACTTGCAATTTTACCACAAGTCATAATAATTGGTATGAGAATCCAGATAAAAAAAAAAAAAATTAAATTTTCAAAGTAAACAAGTTCAGCTTAGTATCATACCATTGGAGGTTTATTCAATCATCCCATCACCAAAAGAGTGACTATCAAACAAAGAACCTATTGCATCAAACTTAGTACAGTGAACATATTAACATGCCAAAACTAAAATGTTTCTTGGCCAAAACTAATTCCCAAAAGCTGACCAAATGACCAAATATCAGATTTTTTTTGTTTTTTGAAACTTTTCAGCATCCCCCTCAATGATTTTCCATTCAGCATTCAGAGAGCTTTTTTACTTTGTGGAACAGACTCACATAGTTACTTCCCTGAAAACAACAATCTTAACCACTTCATGTCAGGGATCAACTGTTATCTATCCTCCTTATCTTCACTTCCTACCACCTTTATCCCTATCACAAACTTCATTCAACATAACCATTTCTAATATTAATCCTCTACATTGAGTGAATCTCGAGCCTTGTATTAGGTGAAGTACATATTAAAAAAAAAAAGGTCAATTGAAATAAATGGAGTGTTACCTTAATTAGTCTATCTAGCAGCTCTGTGCCATTCTTTACATTTTGGTCTGGATCTGCTGTAAGCTAGAAAAAGAAAAAAAAAAACATTTTGAAATGATAAAAGCAGAAATCATGAAACAACATTACATTTCTCAATAAAGCTCCGATGGCTATTAAAACCTTGATAATCAATCTTGAAGTTGCTTATTACTATCATTTAATGCTGATAACCAAAAAGATGGAGCCAGAAATAAGCAAATCATTAAAGCCACAGGAGAAAATTGAATGCATTACCCTCATTAATAACTGGCTTCTCTGGTAACTACAGCAAAACACATTATGCATTAGTACTTTTTTTTTCTTAAGCATTTCACCCCAAGCAAGGCAGGAGTGCCACTAACACGCAAGGGGTTACAGCGAGTGGGAGCAAGAGTAAAGAGGCGTGATAGAGGAAAGGATGAAGAGAAGGATGGGGAATTAGATCAATGCATCTGGAGATGTCAACTGACATTGCATTTGAATAATTGAAGATTATAGCTATCAGGGAAGCAAGTAAGAGGAAGAGAGCTCCACACATGGGAAGTGCAAGACAAAAAGCTATTGGAGTAGAAGAGACAGCTACATTTAACAGTTTTGACAGTGAAAGGGTGGGACTGAGATCCCAACCTAGTAGCACGCTTAAATTTATGCAGTTTGGGAGCCAGTCAAAGTAGCTTGTTGGAGTAGTTGCCATGATAATAATTGTAGAAAAGACAGAGGGAAGCCACAGTGCACATGTGAGAAAGTGACTGTAGATGAGACGCCAGATCAGGACCAATCACATTGCATATCCATCTCTGGATTTTGTCGAGAACCTTTAGACAAACAGTGGGGGCTCCAAACCATATATGGCAGCAGTATTCCATGCAAGGTCGAATGGTTGATTTATAGATTTGAAGGATAGACTCAGGTAAGAAAAACTTTCTGGTGTGACACACAAAACTAACTTTCCTTGTGGTAGATGAAGCTATTGATTCAATGTATTTGTTCCATCTCAGGTCAGCAGACAGTGTGAGACCAAGCAGGTGCAGAGAGGCACTCTCATGGAGTTGAACATCATACATTCTAATGGGAGGCAGGGAGGGTTCTCTGTGGTGGGTACAGAGAACTGTTTTGTTTTTGAGGCATTAAAGTTTACCAGCCATTTCTTGCCCCAGTCAACCACAGATTGAAGGTCCTTTTTGAGACCAACGGCCAGGTTAGTTTTGTCAGCGATACCAGATTTGCTATTGAGACAGGAGTAAATAGTGGTGTCATCTGCATAGATACTTACCTGGGAACTGATGACATTGGGAAGATCATTAATGAAGATCAGACTGTTGTCATATTTTAGCAGGAGCTGCCCAGTCCTCACTTTCCAGTCTTGATAGAGTCCAAAAGCATCTCTGACTCCTTGTAGACGACAAATTATTTTTCTACCCTCCAACCTCTCTTACAGGCAGGATGTGGCAAGCTTCTCACTGCTCTATCAATACTTACATGAAAAGTGCTCGGATGAACTGCATTCCTTGGTTCTGCCAGTTCTAACCTTCACAGCCAGGACCCACCATGCCACTCACATTGTAACAAACCATTTACTCCTGCCTCGATAGTAAGGCTGATCAGTCAGACAAGGTCAAAATGGCATCTGATATACAAAACGACCTCAAGACCTTCATTAACTGGGTCATAAAATGGCTTTTCAATTTTAACGCCTCCAAAACTAAACTTCTCTCCACTAATCATTTGAGTGACCCCTCTCTGCTTTCCATCGGCATGGCTGATGCTATCCACCAAGAAAGTGACTCATTGCACTTTCTCAAGCTGCCGTTCTCAGATCAGCTGCTAACAAAGTCGGTTCACTGTGTCAAGTGGGACAATTTTTCTCCCTAGAATCTATCTTACATATCTATAAGTCTACCATTAGTCCATGCTTAGAATATAGCTGCCATATGTAGTCCAGTGCCCCTGCTATTTTTCTGGAGCTCGTTGATAAGATCCAAAGAAGACTCAGCAATATTATTGGTCCTAATCTGGTGGTTCAGCTTCAATTACTTGCCCACTGCTGTAAGGTTGCTTCTGTGTGCCTTTTTATAAATACTTTCATGGTAATTGTTTAGATGAGCTCTTCGCTACGATGCCTAGACCGTATGAATTTAAGTGCAATACTAGACTGGCAGCAAGATTTCATCAATTTACAATTAAGCAAGCTAGATGTAGCCATGACCTCTATGCTAACAGTTTCTTATCTCACACTTATTGCTTGTGAAACTCCCTCCTGGCTCCATGCCTGCAAAAATTTAAATGCAATGTCAATCACTATTCCTGATTGGTCTTTTCTTTTTCTCCTCATTACTAATGTTTCTGTACATAATTCCTTCACACTCTGTAATCACTTGCATGCTCATGGTTGTATTGCCTTGCTTGGGGTGATAAAAAAAACCAAAAAAAAAAAAACCAACATTCCCTCTGTATTCCATTGATGAGAAGTAAATTCCATTTGATCAGCTTCTTCCCATGAACCACTGCTCTGTGGAACTGACTCCCACGAGGATGCTTTCCCAATCACTACAATCTTAACTTGTTCAAGTCTAGGGTTAACCATTATCTTCCTCTCTGATATGCATAAACTGTCTCTTACTCTGTAACCCTCTACCTTGAGAGGCCCCTGGGCCTTGTATAGGTTGAACCTCACTGAAAAAAAAAAAAAAAACAAACAAACAACTAAGCTTAAATGCATATGACATAATTGGCATCCTGGGTATGATGATAAACTACATCCAGCAGCAAAGCCTCTGATTAGGAGGTTTTGAGGAGCGTGGAACCACCTCTTAATTGCTGTTGTTCCCAGGTCCACTCTGACCCAGAGAGGCAGCACTTATTAGGGACCAAACTATGGGTAAATAGTTAACCCCCTGCCAAACAGATGGGCAAAACATTATGAAAGTATAAAAATTCATGGTAAAAAAATTTCCAACAATTAAATAAATAAATAATACCAGCAATACATTTTTGAAGGAAAAAAAAATTACCAGCAATACATATTTTATAAAAGAAATTACTAATGTGCTAATGCTCATAAGAAAATTAAATTTCAGTATTAGATGACCCATAAGGAGTTGATATGCCGCTAAATAAACAACATAATTGTGAGGCATCTAATAAGTGATCTGGAATAGTTTGATAACCAACTGAACCACAATGAGACATTCTTTGCTATAAAATCAATTATCTAACATTCATAAAAACACAACTGGAAGACATCAAGGAGAAAATCTACTATATGATGTTACACTGAGAGAAAACCATGAGCATGTTAGATTAGTTCAAAAAGGTAACAGAATTTCACTCATCTGAGCCATGTGTATTATCTTGATTGTGGCCTCAACAAAGAGAAATTAGTACCAAAAGAGGGAAGCATCTTTCTCACTCCATGTGAGTGATAGGACAACAGCTGAATACACATGTTTGTTGCTGTTGTGGTTTTCATAACATGTAGTTTATTATAGCATGGAGTTGCCAGCATCACACCCAATCAGTCCAGTTTTGAATTCAGAGTTATCCTTCTCCTAGACTGGTTGCCAATTAAGCCTAGAGAGCCAGTCTGCTCTAAAATTATGAGAACCATAGAAAAAAATCAGTGTGGATGGATTGAAGATTGGATGCAATGTTTGTAGACAAAAATTTTATATTAATTCTCCCCCACCCACCTCAATATTATAGCAAACTCTAGGATCAGTTATTCCATATAGTTAACATTTGATCATGTCATGGCAGTGAATGCTGGACAATCTCTTCAAAGATGAAGAAGAGCCATCAAGCAACAGAAATCTGGTTCTACAGAAGGATACTGAAGATAATATGGACCAAATATGTGAGCAACAACAAAGTTTTAAAGAAAATGGAAACAAAAAGGAAACTTATATTTAACATCAGGAAGAGACAGTTGAAATTTCTAGAGTACATAATGAAGAAAGAGGGCTTGGAAAATCTGATACTCACAGGATAGATTGAAGGCAAGAGGGACAGAGGAAAACAATGCATAGCATACTTAGTGAGCTTGGGTAAATGGATAGCAGAACAGGGTTTAGGAGAAATAACAAAAAGACAAAATTTATTAAGAGCTACAAAGGACAGGAAACTGTGGAGAGCCATGATCACCTACATCCAAAGGGGACATGGCACATAAAGAAGATGTTATGAGTAAAAAAGGCAGTGGAATAATTACTAAATATTTAAATTTTTATACTTGTTTGATTTTGGTATCTCCAATTTATTATTTGCATTTTGGGCTCATCCTTTCACTAACCGCCATGCATTCTGTCGTCTTCTAACCAACACCTTTATCCACTGTGCCATGTGTCCTTGAGGACATCTGGGCATGAATTTCTGGGTATTATAAACCTAATGTCTTCAACAACCATTTTTACCAGTGCTCATATTGCAATTTTGCTGTTATCATTGCATGTTTTTACCAGAGCCCATATTGCAACTTTGTTGTTATCATTGCTTTTCTCTTGCACTCCTTATTACTGGTTCCCATATTGGATTTATTTCTATGCTTGGTTGGCTCAGGAGATTGGTTGCTGAAGACATTAGGTTTATATTATATTTACCCAGAAATTCATACCCAGATGACCTCAAGGACACATGGCACAGTGGATAAAGGTGTTAGTTAGATCCAATGACAGGACCCAAAGAGTGTGAGTTCAATACCCGGTTAGGGCAGTGGAGAACTTTCAGAGGGAAATTAGCAGGAGATAACTGATAACTGACATCCATCAAACATGGCATGTGGAACTAGAACAGTCTACCCCAATGAGCGAAATAAAGGGTTCAGTTCGAAATTCCAACCACCTGAAGAAGGCTGGAGCGTACAACGGCCGAAACATTGTGATAAATATGGCAAAAAACTTCTGTAAGAGATTTTGTAGTTTTCTTTCCGTGTTTGCTATCAACACTGTGTCATCTGCATATCTTATGTTGTTAAGATTGTGGCCACCAATAATGAATCCTGGTAGGATATGTAACCACTCTTAGTAACCTTCTACCTTGAGTGGTTCCTGATATTGGATCAACTTGAAATTTTCAGCATTTTCTTTTAATAAAATCTTATAAAAATGATAGCACCATTATCCAGTCAAAATATTTACTCGAGTTTTCTATGATTGAATAAATTGGGTAATCATCCAAACAATTTCAATTTTGTTTCAGTGAATTCAAAAAAGCTTCTTCTTTTCAATATCTTTAAATTGTTGGAACTACTGACCAGATATGTTGAATAAATTGAAATAAGTAACAGCCCAAGGAGGACAAGTTCTTCCACACCAGATGCAGAAGAACTTCCCATTCTAGTTCCATGACTGTTTATTGCATTTTCAACATAAGGACTTTCAGATCATGAAAGAGAAGTAAAGAAAACACTAAGAGTCAATGGATGAGAGCTGCCAATGGGAATGGCTCACCTTACTTAATCCATTGAAGATGTCGTTGAAGAATGGCAGGACTGAACCTCGAGACACTTTCACAATGTTGTACAGGGCTTCACAAGCATAATATCGCACGCCACTATCTTGGTCATGGAAACAAAACAACACCGGTTTGACCAATTCACTCACATATTTATCAGATTCCTGAAAAATAAATTAATAGAACATTCAGAGCAAATAATCTCAATTGTATAGCAAATACAGACTGTTCGTGATAATACCTGGACATTTATTGTGCATCTGCAATTTTCTGAGTGAGAGTGGAGAGAGATAGAGTAAGAGGTGGGTGAAAAAAGGGGAAGAGAAGGTAGTTAACTGAAAAGATGAAAAAAGAGAGAGAAAAGGAATGAGAGTGAGGAGAGAGGAAGTAAGAGGGAAATTGAAGGAAGAGAGGGAGAGTTTTTAACTGAAAAGAGGGAAGAGGGAGGGAGATAGAGTGAGAGGAGGAAAGAGAGGGAGTGAGAGGTGTAGGGAGAGAAGAGAAAAAAGGGGAAGAGGGAAAGGGAGTAGTTAACTGAAAACTTGTGTTAAATCATTTTGCTATACTGAAGTGAAATATAATACAGAGGAACCTCGGTTCTTGAATATCTTGCATGCTGAACAAATTGGTTTTCAAACAGAAAATATGAGATGAAAATGCCTTGGTTTTCAAACACCATTTTGGTTCTTGAACAACATTGCCAAACCAAGTCAACCTGAACAGAATCATTTCTAATTCAACCACTGTGCTGTATATATTCGTGTGTTGTGACGTGCTTTTCTTTTCCAATTTTATTATACTGTGACTTTATCTACACTGATTCCTATTGGAAAAATAGTTTCAGGTTATGAACGGCCTTCAGGAATGAATTAAGTATGTAATCCAAGGTTCCATGGTATGCATATATTTTACAAGAGTTATCTTCCCATTGTGATGCAAGAAAACATTTTCTAAAAGCTTTTATGAGGATACACAGAATCAAAAGTGTTTTGATTTATATGTGTCATAATTTCAGACAGCATAAATTCATTAAAATTCAAGTGGACAACAAACATTTTCTTTCTCTGAAGACAGAAACCCAGTCTGTTCATACCGTTCTTTGAAAGAGTCTATTTTTAGAAATGGGAAGGTGCCTTTTGTTCTCAAACGTTCTATAACAAAGTCAAAACTATATTACCTTTCCTAGACCAATAGCTGTGGCAGCCAAACCCATCAGCCCACCTTTCCTTGTGTTCAAATTATGGGAGACAGCAAAGTCCTCTCCAAGTACTCTCAGCAACTTCCTGATTTGGGCATGGTTGTTTTGGTGCACAAAATCTTTCACCATTCTGGAAAGAAAAATTACTTTAATCAAAGTATTGACAAGTAAGAAATAAAAAATATATTGAACCAACATATGTACACACAAAACAAGGTCAATTCAAACAGATTGTATAAAGCACAGATAGTGATGTTTATGTAAATCTAGTTTATTGAATTATTACTTTGATATAAGACTTATCAACATTTTTGTTATTACATCAGATAGATCCAGTTAACCTACAGGGAATTCTGAAGTGAGCCCTTTATTTAATCTACAAGGGTAGACTGTTCTCATTCCACTGCCCATGTCTAAGGATATCTCGTCTAGTTCTTATTTTTTAAGTATCGCTCAGTTATTGCCCTCCTTGTTTCCACTAAGTCCAAGTACACACTGGAATTGAACTCAAAATCACTATGCCACCAATTTCATAATCTAATGATTTAATCCACTAAGCCAGTGTTTCCCAATTGGTGTGGTTGAAGAGGATAGCATGTGCAGTGGAATGATTGAAAGACAATCAAAGATTTAAACAGTTTCAAAAAATTCATATGCCAAAAATAAATATGATTTCAAAATCTTAAATACTATTATGGATTACTTGTAGTTGCATGCAGGAGTCCCAGTATAAATAGTTATAAATAATTATTGACCGATTTTATCATTGTAATATTTTTGCATTATATCTAGTATTAATATAGTAACAAGTGTTTGCAAATTGGAAGAAAGAATTATCAATGCTAATGTTCTGACTTTGTCCGCGGTTATCTCCCTTTAACCCGCTCTCTGTTTTTTTATTTTAAATGTACTTTTTATCACATAAAATTTGGTGAGGTGCAAGCAAATTTTCACACTGAAAATGTAACCGGGAAAAAATAAACACTGCATGAAGCCATTTTCTTTAGGAAATTCAGACAGAAATTAGTTTATTAAAGTATTAATTTGCTATAAATAAAATCAACATTTAGTTTATTAAAAAAATATTAAATTAAATGATGACGTTTATTAATTTTTTTATTAGAAATATTACTTATTTCCTGTATATTTTTTTGCAAAGTCATTATCTTTTTCTTCTATTTCCAGTCATCATATATTTACCATACTTTCATCTTTGAAGAAGAAAAATTCAAGGAGCCTTTTCATATTTTCTTATATAATGTAATTTGAATGAAATCAAAAGTAGACAGATTTATATTATATTAAATATTATTAAGTCATTCTGACAATACCTACAACCAAACTCTCAATGTATGTGCAGAGTATTTAAAAAAAAAAAGAAAAAAGGAGTACTTACTAAATAATATCTGTGTCTTTACCAAGGAGTAAATGTAAGTGACGATAGATATCTTTTCTAATGTAACTGATTTTTGAGATTATTAATATTAAAGATCATAAAAACAAGGAATTGAAAAATAAAGCAAAAAGTAAAGTTATTCACCGAGGGTCAGCTTTTAAATTCTTCTTTTAGCTCTGGTATCAAAGTTTTTTCTAAGTATTTTTCTCAATCAAATAACTTAGGCAAATAAATTACAAACCATAATAATTTTCCCTCAAAAAGAAAAAAAGAATTAGAATGAACTGTATTACTCAGATTTTACTCAAGTAGAAAAGCTATTTATTTAAACTATCGATGATTTACAAATTCAACTTGTGAAGCACTATATAGTAAGACTTGTTCATCAGAAATGTAATTTCAGTTCACTAATCCATTATAAATACTGAGAAGCAGTGACCAAGTTTTGAAACTAGCATGGCAGTTTCAAACACTTAAAACTAATAAGAATAAATCCAAAGAAAGAAACATTGTTTTGAACATACATGAAGAGAGAAAATATACACACAAAAGTAGAAGATATTAAAAAAAAAAAAAAAAAAAAAGATAAATTGCTATTCGTACTTTTAACAAAAAAAAAAATTACAAAGCTTTAAACCTGTATCTGCATCAAAAGTCACATATGAAAATATGATTCAAATATTTAAATAACCGATTATAAAAACAAATGTCAAGTAAATTAACAATCTACAGCATTAAAAATAATTAAACCACATTACCAAAGTTAATTTCTGCTTAAACTATGACACACACACAAACTGAGAAGCTGAATGCAGATAAAGATTTAAGTTTTATAGAAATAAAAATGCTAATTAACCAATGTTGAGTCTAGTCAGTACTTATGTGGATGACCACTTGGGAATACCGGATGCTGTAAACTTGGGTTTGTTATATTTACTTACATGCAAATATCCTTAGGAAAGGTACAAATTCACCCATGGGTTAATTAGTAATACTTGTATCACTAAATCATCATTATCTCAAAAAAAAAAAAAAAAAAAAAAAATTTGATATTCACTTACACAGATATACCCTTTAGAAAGGTATCAATCCAACTCTTTTCCCCCTGAGCTATGGGTTAATTAGTAGGACTTGTATCAGCAAATCATTATTATCTGCCCCCAAATCTTACAATCCAAAAGATTTTCTGGCTTTAAATAACCTGCAAAGGGTTGATAAGCCAACAAAATAATCAACTTCAATACAAAGTAAAGTAAATTGAAAATCTTTAAACAACAAACCAAAACCATTTTGGAAACAAAACAGTTATAAACTTGTGCATGTTTGTGCGTGCAAGTGTTCTTTACTGTTTGGCTATATGTGCTACATGTGAATTACAGAATTTGTATAGATGTTTCTAACAATTGATGATATACAGCATTGACCTAACAGCAAAGAGCTATTGAAAATAATTGCTTTTCATAAATGAAATTTGCAGACCGCTCTAAACATGAATAAAATAAAACCAATATCCAAGTAAGGACCAAACCATTTATTTAAAAATGGCCGCAGCTTTTATTATCCAAATGAGTTAAATTAAATTTAATGCTATAAATATTGTGAAAAGTAGTTTAAGAAAAATAAAGAGAAAACAAAAATTTAGGAGATTAAGAGGTACACATCTCAAGGAACAAAACATATCAGCATAAAGTTTTCCGCTTATTTTTTATTCATATTGTCTTTACACATGCATCTTATTTATATCTGAATTTTTACACACATCATTCTATATAAAGAGGAGGATGCTGAAAAATTCTTAACACAACCTACTTACCAAAATCTGACCAAATGGCCAAACATCTGATTATTTTTAGAAATACTTCATAAGAACTTTTCATCATAGCAATTTAGCAATTATATTGCAACAATTGAAACAACAAAAAGACAGTCCTGTCTTTTCTATTTAGTTATTTTAGTATACAGTGTAACCCGGATATAAGAGACCCTGATATAAGGGAAACCCAGATATAAGAGAGATTTTCTCTGGTCCCAAATTAGAGCCTGTGTTAATGTATATAAAATAGACCAAACCCGGATATAAGAGACTTCTTCTCTGGTCCTGACAACTCTCTTATATCCGGGTTACACTGTAGTAATAATAATAATAAAAATATGGCAATAGTTCAAATCTGTTTCTCTTTTATGGTTACATTTTAATAGAAGTTCACTAAAAAACAAGTTTACACAGTAATTTTTTTCTTTATAAATTATTCTGGGTATTTGAAAGGGAAAATTAATTTAAAAGAAAAATTTGATTAAAAAGTAATTTTCAGCCCTAACTTATTGAAATTAGGAACATTCAAATTTCAAAAGATGTCTAAAAGTCAGTCTGACACGTGTTTTTGCTTTTAACCACCTCCTTTTCAGGACATTATGTTTTATATACTATACATACACAGCAATACAAAGCAAAATTACTTTGTCCTGGGTTTTTGAGATGTGAATCTTTATGTTGAAAAAAAATAAAAACAAAAACCTAACATTTTATTCTCACCCTACCCCAACAACAAAGTACAGAGAAGCAAGTTTGTAACTAATAACTAGTTTAGAAGTTGGAGATCTAATTTTGTACCTTTTGTATCTTCAGGTTTAAATAGTCAATCTTGTTTTTCAATTCACCATTATAGACGTTAGCTAAAGAACAAGTCTTCAGTTTCAGAGCATTGCAAATTCAACTTTGCAGGTAAATCTTAACTTGACAAGAGTCAGAAAAATTAAATTTTATGACTGAAAATAATAAATATATTAGTAGACAAGAGGGTGCTGAAAAGTTCTTGGACACACCTACCTGACCATTTTTTTAAAAAATTTTTAACAGCTAGGCTCAGAAACTTTCACTATGCATGTATGTTCTGCTTATCAGATGTGACTCCCTAAAACATGACCCCAAAATGAAACCAATATACAAAAGCAAGGATCAAACAATTTACCTGTAAAGTTTATCTTGACAAGAGTCAGAAAAATTAAATTCTGGCTAAAAATAATACATTAGTATACAAGAAGGGGCTGAAAATTTCTTGGTAAAAAAAAAAAAAAAAAAAATATCCATTTGTTTTATTTTTTGAAAGGGTTTTGGTTAGTCTCAGAACTTTTCAGTATGTCACTCTGCATGTATGTGTGATAATATATATATATATTTTTTTAAAGAATTTTTATCCACCATTATTTCCTATTACAATAAATCAGCAACAACCAGCCTAAATTGAGAAGTCCTATTAAAAAAAAAAAAAAAAATTGTGCTTCTGCTGACAGGTATCGAACTTGCATCTTTTTTTTCCATCAGGGAAACAACTTTTTCACCCAAGGTGCACCTCTGGCAGTTTAGCCACAGACACCAGGCAAGGTTTGAATTACCTATTTAAAGAAAGCACATTTTTTGTTGGAAATTCTACAAATCTATATCTACGAGCTTCAGACACAATCTTTCTTTAGTAGGACTTCTCAATTTCAGCCAGTTATTATTAATTTCACTCTTTAATAAAATAAAAAAAAAGAAAAATACAGATAGCAACTCAATAACATGTACCAACTAAAAATAGCATTTATAGTAACAATAAAAAAATATTGTGTATATATATATATATATATATATATATATTAGATATATAGATAGATAGATAGAGAGATTGCAAATAAAGACAAAAGGAAAACTTAACCAATGCATTTCACCTCCTGAGGGATTTTATTAAGGTAAA